AACCTTCTGATGTACTTAAGGCCTTCTATGTGAAAAAATTCATTTCTAATTATGTTTTGGTGTAATAAAAATGTATTTATGTAACATAAATGGGTGGATATCCCGAATGCCGTCACAGGAAGTTATATTTTGACTTCAGGCCCTTTTGGGAAAGGAACCGCAGAGAGGAAAAAATTCATCTCTCAGGCATTTAGCAATGAAATCAATATATTTAGGTCTAAGATAATTTACCAAATTTTATGTGGATATGTCAGTCACTATTTATTTATTTACACATTTAGGGATATAATTTAGATGTGTTTTAATTTCAGCATTAAAATGTCGGTCTACTGATAAATTAACTCTATATTTTAAACTGCATAATGGTATTTTTATCTTAGGTGAATATGTCAATGCTGTCCAGGAATATACTTCAAATCATTGGATCTTTGGTTATAATGTTTGTCCTAGACCCAGCTTTAACTGGTGTACTACTGTCTGTGGTGCCTATTGTGTCTCTTGGGGCAGTGCAATATGGTGAGTACATGTATGTCATCACAACAGTGATATGGTGCTGTTTTTCTGATTCGTGCTAATGAAAAAGAAGAAAGCTGGACTTGTATCAGCATGTATTGATCAGTATTGTCTGTGAGTTGATGTAATAGGGGGTTACTTGAGTTTTTTAACATCTTCCACTGGACAGGTTTTGCGGGTGTACCATATAATGCAGCCTTGTTCTAGCAGTGTAATATTCCAATTGCATCTGTGATACAGGTTACATGGTGAAGAATCTTCGGCAGAAGTTTCAGGACCGTCTTGCAGATGCCAGCACCACTGCAGAGGAGGCTTTGTCTAGTATCAGGACTGTGAGAATGTTCACCAGTGAGAAGAAGACCTCTCAGCATTATGGATCTGATATTGACAAAAGCTACCAAGTTGGAAAGAAGTTGGCCCTTGTCCAAGGTTAGTTTCACATTAAAAAACTCCCTTGATCAGGTATGCCATTAGGTAATAAGTTTGATAATAGTTGTGACTATTTACAGGTTGTATCTTAACCCAATCTACTACATGTGGGTTATCAGATTGTTATGTATTGTATAGATCATTGTGGTTGCTTACTTTGAAATTTTTCTATAAAATGCCTGCTTATTGTCTCTCCAAGCTGTTCCCGGGTTTGGCTGTTATCTGCATCTGAAAACTATACATTAAAGAGCAATATCTGGCCAACATTCTCCTTTCTTACATGTACCTGACTGTTTTGTTAGACCTTGTTTTTAAGTGATGAAGGTCTACTTAATTCATAAATCTGATGATAGAATTAGAACATTTGGGCTAAGATTTGGTTAGAGATTAAAAAATATTGGATAACTATTTGATGTTTCTCTCTGTAGGTGGATTTGATGGAGTGATAGGTATCATTGCTTATGGTGCCATTGTGTTGGTATTGTGGTATGGAGGAAAACTGGTGAATGAAAAGCAGTTATCTCCTGGGATATTAACATGTAAGATTTTCAGAAATAATGCATTTAAAGAGGAGTTTGATAGCTTATTGATCAGTGGTGATATTTACATTGTGATTGAGCTGACATTCCTATTGCCTGCCCCTCACCCCTCCACACAAACACACACGTATATACACCAAAAAAAAAAAAAAGAATTTAACAGAGATTAGAAAGGTAAGAGAAAGGTGATCTGATACCTTTTGGTGTAAAACATTACAACCGAACTTACTTAGATAACAGAAGTTTAAATCATGTCGCATGGTCTTGTTTAACCACCAGAAATTCCACTTATAGTGCAATGTACTATTTTAGGATAATAATGCAAATACTCTATATTTTCCCCATATCTCACTTTGATACTCTTAATTATTTCCATTTTTCCTAATTTCAGCCTTCTTGCTGTATACTCTCCAAGTAGCTATGAGTTTTGCCATGTTGTCTTCACTTTATGGAGATTTTATGCAGGTAAGATATTTGTTGTGTTGCACATGATACATTCATGCAAAAAAAATTATAAAGATTTATTTTATTTCATTTTATAGTGAGTTGAAAGGAATTTTTATTTTGGATTTTAATTGGATTACTTAGGATAGATTTGTTCATTGGGTTAATTCCTGTACATAGACTTTTCTTATCTTATTAGGCTGTTGGAGCTTCAATTCGCATATTTGACCTGATGGACAGGAAGCCAGAAATCCCCATTGAAGGCGGTTCACAGATTGTGGATATGGAAGGATGTGAGCATGTGTTTACTTGGTTGTAATAACAACATTTTACACTGTGGAGCTGGTTTGATTAAAATGATTTATTTTTTCATTAATAGATTTTTTTTGCAATGCAAAATATTGATATGGTAACATATGGCATTAGTTTGCTTCCACAAGTTGTCACACTATCTGGTATCTAGTAAACATAAGTATCTGATAAACAATTTTGATGCTTACCATGATGTGTCTGTCAAGATTTTGTCTTTGAAATAAAAAGGTATTTCAATAATTTTCTTGATATTCCAGCTGTAGAATTCCAGGACGTGTACTTTACATACCCATCCAGACCAGATACACAGGTGCTAAAGGTGTGTTGACCTTTTGTTTTAATAAATACTGTTTAAAAAATACTATTTGTTGAATGCTGCAAATGTTTGGTTGAATTGTTATCTTTGCTTTATGCAGGAAATTCTTCTTAAGCATTTCAGTAAGAAGCAGCTATATACATTATTTATTTATTTATTTATTTTGACAGGGTGTCTCCTTCAAAGTGGAACCTGGCCAAGTGGTAGCACTGGTGGGGCCATCTGGTGGTGGGAAATCCACCATTGTGAATATGATTGAACGTTTCTATGATCCAGAGTCTGGGTGGATCAGACTGGGTGAGTTTGAGGGATATACTGTAGGAAGCTGTGTAGAATATATCAGACTGCAATCCACTAAAAATTAAAAAAAGGGCTTGTTAAAAAATGTTGCTGGACATGTAATCCAGATCAGTTTTCCAAAGCATGTCTTGATTATCACCATCATTTCTCACCAATACTTGTTCAGTTATTAAAAATAACTTCATGCATTTAGTCATAAATGAAATAATATGAATGGTACTTATTTTTAGGAGGCAATGATCTTAGTACACTGGATCCCCAGTGGTTTAGACAGCAGATTTCTATGGTTAGCCAGGAACCAACACTGTTTGCCTGCTCAATAAAAGACAACATATCATATGGCAAAGACTGTACACTAGAAGAGGTAAGTAAAATGCTGCCCATTAGAGTAAAAATGTGAGTAGACATTAGGTTTGTATTTTTGTGTTGAATCCTTTGATTTTGGAACCAGATTTGATGTATTTAAAATTTTCATGACTTCAAATATTAATTTATGGCAATAAAAAAAACTGTTATCTTCTCTTTGAATGTTATATAAGATTTTCAGAAATTTGAATAGGAAATTTGGAACAGGTTTTCTTTACACCAGATATGGTCATGTAAGCCACTTGTGTACAGATTGAGTATTTTCTCAACATTTCATGTAATGTATGTTTAAGAACTGTTTTTCTTCTATCAGGTGGTGGAAGCAGCCAAACAAGCCAATGCTCATAATTTCATAATGGGTTTTGAAGAGCAGTATGATACTCTTGTTGGTGAGAGGGGAGTGCGGCTGTCTGGAGGACAGAAACAAAGAGTGGCTATTGCCAGGGCTCTTATTATGAACCCCTCCATACTTTTACTTGATGAGGTAAACACTGGAATTCACCTCTAATACAATGTCGCATCTGGTACAGCTAAGTAAAACAACTACCATCACCAGTTCCTAGTATTTTTGTTTTTTTAACAGTCATTATTTAATTTAATATTTAAAACAAGCAACAAGCAGAGATGTGTGTGTGTGTGTGTGTGACATTAATAAATGCCCGTGTGTGTGAAATAGATTAGTTTGCCTATAGTATGCATTTAGTTTCAAAGCTAAAAGTCCCATGTCTGTTCTAGGCTACAAGTGCACTGGATGCTGAAAGTGAACACCTGGTACAGGAAGCCATAGACCACGCCATGAAAGGCAGAACAGTGATTGTCATTGCTCATAGATTATCAACTGTCAGAAATGCGAATGTAGTAAGTAAAGAAACTGTCTGCTGTTAGAAATAATTTTATTTCTTTTGCTTATTGGCAAAATGTAAGACTAAAAGAAACTATATTAAACCATTTTGCAACGTTTGGTCTGTGTATAAATTGAAAATGAGGAACTCTACCCAAAACACTCTCTTTGCCCAAAAGCCAAATCTGCCTTTAGAAATGCTTTAGTAAGGTTCCAAAGAGTCCTTTGCTTAATTTTAGGTTGCTGTGGTGGACAAAGGGAAAATAGTAGAGCAAGGAACACATGAAGAGTTGCTGGCTCAGGATGGGGTATACAAAAGACTGGTGTTGAGACAGCTGATGGCCGGGGCTACAAATGGTTTAGACTTTAATATAAATAATGATAAAGATGATAGCAATGGTCATTTACTGGACTAAATATAAGTAAAGATAATAAGCAACAGTGTCTTATTTATTTTGTTCCTGTGTCTCACATTTACCAAGCATTGCTATGTATGTGGTACAGGAAGCCACACACACACACACACACATTTATATGTCAGTCCCGGCTTTTTTTAGCACCAAATCTGGAGATGCTTTATATAAAAGGACACAGTATATACAATTTTACATTTGTATTTGATGATAACATTGCATTCTGACAGATGTGCAGGGTTTATGGTTTTTTTACTAATTTTGAAATTTATTTGTAGTACATGGATTTTTTTTTTCAAATTTATTTTTAAAATTATCATTTAAATGTCTCATAATATCAACCACTGTGATACCCAAGTTTATTTCATTATTTAAACCAGAAAATAGGGCTTTTTTATGCTTATACTTGTCCATCACCTTAATTTTTTCTGTTGATACTTACTACAGGCTCCCCCGAGTTTCAGCATACACTCTCCTTTAGGAAATACTATGTATATGCTAGTTGTAGATAAATATTTGATACTTGGGGTCCCTTTACGCCACCGTCCTCTGCAACAATGCTTTAAGACAAAAACTTACATGCTAGGTGGTACTTTACTTGTGAGTGTGCTTAAAGCAAAGGTGAGAACTTTTTGTATTGAGATAAAGGTGTGTCTCTATTATATTTACTTAAAAGATTTAAACTGATTTGTGAGAGATATTTGAGGTCTCACACATAGACTTACATTGGCTAGGGATGATAACAAGTGATTAAGAAGGGCACCTTAGCAGGGGCGGATTGAGGCCGTCTTCTGGGTCTTCTGGAAGACGGTCAGATTTTCAAGTTTACATTGACGGGTATCTCATTTTTTCTGTGAGAAGACGGTCAAAAATAGGGGATGGATCAACAAAGAAAATTTGGAAGACGGTCAGAAAATAGCTCTGGATCCGCCCCTGCCTTAGTACGTAGATCTTTAAAGATTGGTGGTGATTATGCTGTTAATCATTTTTAATATTGCATCAAAATTGACAAATAACCTTATTTTGTGCACTGCCACGGCAAACACTATGAAAGAAAAGTTGTGTTACTTTTTATTTTGTAACTTACAAGAATTATTCTTTGGATTGACATACAGGTCAAATTGAAACCAGCTTGATTGGATTTTGTTAATTATGGGAGTTTTTTTGTGCATTTCTAATTTTCTTATTCTGGCATTTAAATGTGAGAATTTGAACTCTAATGAACCTGAAGTCTGATGTAAGTAACAGTCCCTATACCCATGTTACTTGTTGTGCATGTAATATTTGGTGTTAATTTTGCTATAAAGCACAATGTATTAATACATCAAAATTGACAAAATAACCCATTTTGTGCATCTTTATTTTTTGCTTTTTGTTTGTGCATTTGACAGCTTTGCTGCCTTGTTGCATTTCGAGATGAATGTTTTTAAAAAATTCATTAGCCAGCCTTCTTGCCATAGTATCAGTGAATGTGAAGATTTTTTCCCTTTGATTTAAATCGAAAGAAATTTAATCTTTATGCTGCTTTTACTTTTTTTCTTGTGTTTTCATGTGGGCACTTACCAGCCTCCAGAAATTTTAAAGCTTTATTTGAAAAATAAAACTAACAATTTACATTAAATTAGAAATTTTTATTGAAAATTAATTTACAGCACATTATAACAAAAACTCCTTAATAATAATTCTAATAAAAAATGTGATATTGAGAGGAGCTTAAAATACAATTTAAACTTTCATATTATATGATTTTATTATGATCTTTATCGCCATTTTGGTGTATTATTTGCACATATAACTCAACAGAACAAAAAATGTATAAAATATTTCTCTTCTCCATCCAAGTATAATATTGTAACAGAGAAAGAAAGATTATTGAGAAAAGCAAAAGAAAATGCTATATTTTAGAAGCACATGCTGAGGCTGCAGAGCAGAGTCAAGAGCCCTAGAATGACAGAAAGAGACAGCTATGCCAACAGAACACAGAGCCCAGAATGCAGTCATAACAGAAACAATCACCCCTACAATTAATCACCCAGCACCAAATGAAATAACACCCCCATTTCACAGAATTAACAGTCCTAGCCGTACAAGCACACAGAGTAACTTTGAAATTCCTTGCCCAGACAGACACTATTTAGTGGAAAAGAATAATGGAAGGGTTTTATTGAGCCATTCAAAGCTCTAAGCCAGACTTGTGAATGGAGTGAGTCAGAAAAACTGTTTAGATTATGTAACAGTCTGTGTGGTGAGGCTGCTGATTTTGCCTTTGTTCATTTGCCAGCAGAGGTAGTGAATTCCTACCCTCTGCTACAGAGGGTATTGCAAAACGGGTTTCAAGAAAAGCGCACTACAAGCTCCTATTTATCAGAGGAGAACAGAAAGCTTGGTCCAAAAGAAAAACTCCCAGAATACATCTCCAATATTAGAAAGCTAGTATTAAAAGGCTACCCCATGACTAACTGTACCACCCGTGAGACAATTGCATTGCACCACTTCATAAAAGGTTTGCCAGACCACCAAGCCGCCATAGCAGTGGGCAAGAAAACACAGGCATGAGATTTGGTTTTGATAAAAAAGTCTGAAAGATTTTTCGAAGAAAAATCTTAACGCACACGTAGTGTGCGTGGGGGGGTTGTTAAGGGGGGTGCCCCCCCCTTAAGCCTNACACCCAAAAATCTGGATGAAGCGAGGGAGGCCCTGGAGAAAAGTAGCTTGTTCCCAATACAGATACATGTACATGTGACTTGTTAAGTGTTCCTACAAAATATAAGAAAAGAAGAAAACCAAATTGAAGTGTTGTGCAGTTTTTCACAGAGTAGAGTCTGGTGGCAGCCATTTACTTAAAGAAAACCCCAATAAGGTTCTGAAAGAAAACCCTAGTACAGTGTAAAGAGAGAACATAACATTGGCAACAAGAACCTTACAATATAAAGGTAAACCCAATTTCTACCTGCATACTTTTTTACAGTGTTTGTCTCCATGCTTTTTCAGTGCAATTAAAGTCACTTTAAATTTAAACAAATTAAATGAAACTAGATGAGCTTTCCCACTTCAAAAATTTTAATACAAACCCAAACTACACCCTTGTAATGACATTTTATTGTTGGCAGCATAGAATATTAAATGTGCATTTGGTCAATATATTCAAACATGAAAAACCAACATTAAAGTTGGATACAATTGTGCACTTTTTACTGAAACTCTGGGATATGTCAACACAGAAAATACTAGTTTGAATGATAAAGTGCCTACATTGAACTACATATCCCCATAGGTCACGAGTTTAGAGGTGCTTGATACACCTAGCAAGCTTCACTTTCATTCACTTTCGAGAATTACAAAGAATAAATAAATAAAAATAATTAAAAAATATTAATGATGATATGTGTATATTCTAAAAGTGTTATATTCAAAATTGGGAGAAAAAACGCTAAGTTTTATGTCGATAACTTGATAGGTAAAAGACCATGGACGGAGTTGACACAACATACAAAAACTACAGAAAAATAAGCTCTAATGCTATTACAAATATGAATATGATATAGGGGAATGTAAGTATATAATCATGAAAAGTGCATAGACATGTGACCACATTCCTGTGTGTACAAAAAAAGGCAGTTTGAAACAACATAATCAAAATTCTCTGGTCTACAGAGAAAAATATTACTGAAAACAATTGTATCGGTTCTTTGTGACCTCTTATGTTCCAAGCTCTTGATAGCAATAAATGGGACTGTTTGTGGAACTGTGACTTGAAATTAATTATGACATTTGATTGAGTTTGTCCAACTTCCAGTTTTTGAATTTAATATCTCTATCCAGTTATCAACTCAAAAGTAAAGGCACCTATATTGACCACTTTCCACTTATAGGTGTTCACTTGGTATAAGTAATGTGAACAATTGCATGGAAATATTGTATTTTTACTTTGGATTGAAATGCAATGTATAATGATTGGTATTAATTTCCTTTTTTAAAAAGTATGTATATCATTTCTTTGAGATATAAATATAGTCTATCTACAAAGAAAACAGAAAGATATAAAACAACAAAAATCACACACACAGCCCCTCTCCAGTTCTTTGAGCTTCTAGAGCACAGATACAGAATTGTCTTTATTCCATGCTTGAAAATATTGTCTTTGCAGCACCACAAAGATATCTGATGTGACACTTCCTCACTGGCAGCACTTACTTTTCTTGCTTTTGTCATACATATTTTCATTATTCTTGTCAACTTCTGGAAAAGGATAAACATTAACCATTATTGAGCAGCTGCAGCAGTATCACTGTGAGAGGGCTGTGTTTTCACTTTTCTATGAGCTTAAGACAAATGTATAAAATTTGTCCATAAATAATTTATGCTTAAAAGAATTAAAATTCTAGAAGTGAAGGGTTTGACTAATATGTTAAATCTTACTTATGCTTCCAGTTCCCAAATGTCCTATTTGCTTTCCAGCAGTTGTCGTTTCCACTTCGTCTAGAACTGCTTTGTCAAACATGAGTGATGACAGGCGAAAGAAAAACTCTTGGACATTTTCACCTAAAATGATATGAAACTCAACCAAACTTTTCTTCTGTTAACAAATGAAAAATACAAAACAATTTTTCATGATTTAAAATATTATTTTGACTATAAAAACAGATCAATTATGTCTCCGAACTAGTGTGTTTGTACAAAATAATTTCCAAAACTGTCAGATAACATTTTTTCTGGCAAATTTCAATTAATTCTGTCAGATGATTAAATAAAAGGATCAAAATATATTCTTTAGATAAATTTTTTTAAAGTTTTTTCAGGCAATTATTGAATTTAAATCTTACCTGTCTTGGATGACACCCCCCAAAATTCTGCTTTTAACTGGTCTGCCATATCTAGTGCTTTGTCTTCAACATCTTTGTAAGTTGCTTCTGACTATTTTATCACAAATATAAAATTCCAGTTTATATAAATTATTTAAATCATTTTACAATTACCAAATATCTATGCTACTAAACTTATGTTTAGCAATGATAAGAATATCCAAACTTCTACTAAATTTGTGATGCATTCTAAAATTAATCACCTTTCACTTTTTCAAAATATTTAAAAAACATTAATTTTCCGATTGTTAACTATGAAAAACAGACTATCAGGCCTACCCAACTACCAGACTCGGCACCGAATGATCCTAAATTCACCGGTAAATCAGACCACACTACCCGTTTTCAAGGTGTGTATCAGTATGCATTTCACAGTATAAGACGCGACACCGCTCTTGCCTAGTACGCGATGTGACTATTGAAGTGACGATTCTTAGCGGGGTTGAAAAGCTTTGCATCACCACTCAAAATCTGTTCAGAGTATGATACTGTGTAATGCGTACTGACTCACACCTTGAAAACGGGTAGTGTGGTCTGATCTACCGGTGAATTCAGGATCATTCGGTGCCAAGTCTGGTAGTTAGGTAGGCCTGACTACTATAGTCTGAAATAAGCAAAAAATATTCTGTTAGTATCTCACCACAAGGTCCTTCTTGGTTCCAACCAAGAAAACCAAAGGGTCATCTGCACTTTTATTGGCTTCATCATACCATTTCCTTGTATTCTCTAGAGACTGAATATCACCCAGGTCAAATACCACAATCACAACTGAAGAAAATAGAAGCTATTATTAACCTTTATCAAACAAGTAAAAGAAGTACCTAAAATTAAAATAAGTCAAGTTATCTAATCCTTTAGCTTTGCTCAATTCTTAAATTCAAGACAGCAAAAGTAAAAATATGTTCAATACAACAACATCTACAGTACACACATGGTTGCTGTAATTTTTAAAACATATTATTCATTTTGAAGCTTTTTAGGGTCATCTTTGCAGCATCACTTATGAATGGCACTTTTCTGTCTCAATCATAAAAGCAGTTGTCCTTCAGAACTCACCATTTGCTCCTCTGTAGTATGATGCAGCAATACATTTGAATCTTTCCTGACCAGCAGTATCCCAGCTAAAATGGCAGACACTTTCTTAATCATGCTCGCTTAAATTATTTCAGGAGCATTATATAACATATAACATGGTCTTTGCAACAAAACACATGGGCCTTCTTTAAAGAAGTCTGTAAAGGGTCTTCATTCTTTCAGTTTCCAAATTTATAAAAGAGTATGGTGCAGTTTCTCAACGGGAAGCATGAATTCTATTACGTACTTGAAAACTATGAAATGTGCTTTTAAACCAGTAAAAGCCACCCAAAACAAAGTTGAAAGGGGATAAATAATGGTGCTACTGGAAATGACAGAGCATGTTGATAAAAGAGGTGAAATCTTGGACTATCTTGAAATCTTGACACGCATCACATTTAGAAGAACATTCCACTAAACACTTACATTTGTAAACTAAATGGAACAGACAGTATGCTAAATTTTTCAACTTCAAAATCAACACCAATGGTGGCTTTGTAATCTCTGTCAAATGTGTCATGGCAAAATCTGAAAACAAAACTTAGGTCTACATATATATCATTGAAGTAGTCTTTGATCATAAAAATTAAGGAAAATATGTATGTGGTAATAATAATAATGACTAAAATGTGATTACATAAATTCAAATTGGAAAAGGCATACATGATTTTGCTTTATAATTTTTAATAAAAGGGTTTACAATCATGACAATGACCATAAAAACATAATCAAAGAAGCGAGAGAGAAAATTATGTACTGTATGTACCTATTAACAAGGCATGTTTTCCCAACAGCAACATCACCAACTATCACTGCTTTGGATATTTTCAGTCTAAGAATAAATAAAGAAATAAAATTCATCTTTTTATGAGTAAGTGTTGACAATTCATACCACATCAAACCATACATATTTGACCTTGAAGTTTATAAAATTGAGGTTGTTTATCAAATTTATACTATAAAAGAGATAAAATCGATATTAACACACTGGCTTTATAATCTCTGTCAAATGTGTCATGGCAAGTATGTAAGTAAATCACTTGATTTCCTGTATGTGATTAATGTTTTTTGTTATTTCTTTTTTCTTTCTTCTTAATTACCCATATTTTATATACCACAATTAAATTTGAATAATATTTTTAAAATTCTTTTAGAAAGTAGTGTAATAAAATAATTCATAAAGCATTTCATAATGTGTACATCGAATAAATAACTTAGGAGTATGCAAACAAAGCTGTAATCTTACATACCCAACTTTGCTGACCCTGTTCTCAGTGCAGGCAGACTTCACCTTGGGGTGAAAATCTAATTTACTGCTATAGGGACCCACAGGACAACATGGCTGAAGTAAAGCAGAAGAGGAAGTTGTTCTGTGTTGAAAAACATGAGAGAATTAAGTATAATGAATGCAAAACAACATAGACTGTTTGTTTTAAATAACAATCAGCAAACAAAAAGCAAGATGCAAAAAATGTTATATCATTATCAATGAGAGATAAAATGGACTTTGTTTTAAAAACTGACCTGTTGCTACAGAGGCAATAAGCACAGTACATGAAGATCCCACTATCAAATGCCAAAAGTACAATAATCTGACATCTAAGCTAACCATTTTAATCACAATAACTTATTGTGTGACCATTACCTGTAGTATGGTTCACTGAAGACACAATTTGTTAATCAGCACCATCAATTAATTTCAAATAAGCTACTAGTATAAACTTAAGACCAGAGACCTACCTTCTGAAATCTGGTAATAATTCTGTCTTTGGCAACATTGGATATGACAACCCTCCCTGGGGTCTGACTTCCCCGGGGCATAGCAACTGCTACCTAGAACACACATTGGCTTTATTATATATTGGTAAGCAATAAAATTATTTAAATCTATCTCAAATAATTGTCTTTTTCCAGTAATGAAAAGGACTAACATTTGAACAGCAGTGTTGGTTTTCCATATTTCTTCAACAAGCTATTAAAACATAGTAAAATACAGCACTTCTCATAGATCGCAAAAGAGTAAACATGTCTAGAAAACACTTTTTTCTAATTCTTTAAGTATGTGTGGCTTTTAGTTTTCTTAGTCTTTGGCCCTAGAATTTTGTAAACCTGAGAGTAGGGGGTTTAAGGAATTCCGGAAGTTTTGATGCAAAAATATGCCAAAAATACATGTACATGTACTTATTATTTTAATTAATTTGAAAAATAAAGACATAAAAGTGACAGGACACACCATAAACTTGCAGATTTATGCAGAGTCATGTTGTTCTGTTCCAAACTTTCACTGATGATAAAAAACACTGTCACGTAGAAAAAGTCTGAAGTCTAGACAAGTAAGAGTAAATCGATAATCTCGTAATGAACTCGTTTTTTTTAAATACATTTTTAGGATTTGGAAAACATCAGTGGAGACCCGACAGCCGTGGTGTGCATTAACAATAAGTGCAAAAGAATGTCTTTTCGAATGATTAATGCAAATGTAAAAGTTTGATAATACAGATAACATACCTGTGTGCCCTGTTTAGAGTCGCCTGCCAAAGTTAAATGCACAAAGATAAATGCTCGCCTCTGACAACACAAGTCTCACAACCCGGAAGTGATTCCAAGGATAAAATTAGATTGGCACATGCGCAATTTAAAATCACGAGCTTCCGGGCACCTTGAATTGACTGGGTTAAACCTTTCAAACTTCCTCTTTTAGCTAACATGGCTCCGAAGAAGAAGCCATCAGAGGGTATGAATGACTTTATTGGCTTATTTAAAAGTTTATTGTGAATAAAATATGTGGTGAACAAGTCCCCGAATAGAGAACCTGAAAGGTTCTTGTTACTGTCATTTAACTGCAATTTTCGTGTTCAAAAGGTTCATTAAGTGACTCTCACGTCCCATACATAAGCTTTGTCACTTGCAACTTGTGATTCTACTTTATTCCGACCCCTTTCCCAATGTGATCTTGTAGTTATAGTCGAGCAGTAAATTAGATCGGCCTTGTCAGTAATGAAAATATGTCATTTTTATGTACAGACACAGATGTGTCTGTACATATTGCCATCACCTGCGTCTGTCGTCGCCGTCGCCGATCATGTCGCCGTCGCCGTGCACTTTCAGCGTTAACACCATAAGTGGAAGACAGTTTTACTTTTTGGCTTTATATTTACAGAGCTGACTTATATTCATAAAACGCAGGTCAAGTTCGAAAATCAGCATGAATCGGGCCATTATTNTGTTACTTATGATTGCCAAACTTTCAAAAAAGAAATACAGGACTGAAATGCAGCCCGAGTTGGAAAAGCAGTCTAATTGACTTCTTTTTCTGGAAGTTTTACATTTTCAAAGTGTGAACTTGAACTCCCATGGGCCTGAAGCTTTATGCTTGTTTCACATTTTACTTACATTGGTATTACCTGTTGAGCATAATTAAAATTTGATGTTGAATTTGCAGTTTAACATAATGTACTTTTGCATCAGAATTGACAGTAGCCTATTTTGTTATTTCCTGCTTTTTGTCTGTACATTTGACAGCTTTGCTGCCTTGTTCTTTTATAATGATAATCTGAGTGCGCCCGTCAGCAGTCCCGGTATCGTGCTCAAAGTCGCAATAATCATATGGGCTTTTTGCATCGAGTCACGTTGTTCAGCATAAATACGAGGCTTATTCCACTGCAACACTTTATTAAACACCAGTAATTGCATCAGTATTTTGAGTTTTTAAACACAATTTACAGGGACAAAGGTCAAGAAGGATGCCCCTAAGGCTGACCAGCCAAAGGAAAAGGCACTGAAGGCCAAGAAGGCCGTGTTGAAGGGTGGCCGAGATAAGAGGAATAAGAAGATCAGAACCACAGTGCAGTTCAGGAGGCCTAAGACCCTGAAGTTGCCCAGGGCTCCCAAGTACCCCAGGAAAAGCACACCAAGAAGGAACAGGTTAGAATTCTTATTCTAATCTGTTGATAGCCTGCCATACAGTCAAATTAATATATGTCAGTCATTAAGATAAAAAAAGTCTACAGAAAGTGATTTTACACTTATAGATAGAAGATATTTTTGAAAAAATGTCAATATGATACTTTTTAAGTAGCCACTTTGGTACTTTTTTTGTTTCAGTTTTTCAATTATTGAATTTGTAACCTTGAGTCATGTAATATTCTGGCTTTTATTTAGCCAGAATGAATTGTGTAAGATTGCATATACAAGTGAATTTTGTATTTTAAGTTTTCATTTGCCATATGTAAATGCTGTTGTCTGCTTTTTACAGACTAGACCAGTACAAGATCCTCAAGTACCCCCTGACCACTGAGTCTGCAATGAAGAAGATTGAAGATAACAACACACTTGTTTTTATTGTGGATAAGAAGGCCAACAAACCACAAATCAAGATTGCAGTCAAAAAATTGTATGACATTGATGTGTCTAAAGTAAATTCATTGATCAGGTAAGTCATTATTGTAAACGCAATCTAAAAAGTTTTGTCACAATCCAGTGATATATTTAAAGTTTTGTAGTGATGATGGAATTTTAAAAATCACTTTGAATTTTTAGTGTTCACAAGTGATTTAATTTGTCAGGTAATTTCCTTTAAGTTTTATTCATGTCATACCCTCAAAAACGCATTCATATAAGTGTTGTGTTTTCATACTATCTAAAATGCATTAAAGTGCTGACTTAGATTTAGGAGAGCTTTAATATATCCCAGATTTTTTGGTTTGATTTGTGACAACTCGAATGTATTCAATTGTAGGCCTGATGGGGAAAAGAAGGCATATGTAAGGCTGGCCCCAGATTATGATGCATTGGATGTAGCAAACAAGGTAAGGCACAGCAAACATGATATTAGAAAGGAAAATTAATAAATAAAAACAAATTAAACGTGTTAAGTAGTTTATTGGAGTAAAAATAAACCACCCTTAAGCATAAAGATTGGGGGGAGGGTCGATTTTTGAATAATCGAAGTTAGTCCAACTTCACTGTTGAGAGGCTTTGTTTCTTACAATTTCCCTTTTTCTCATTTCAGATTGGTATAATCTAAGAAGTCATCCTTTTCATTGAGAATTCTGTTCATAAAAAAACTTTACAAATAAAAATGTCATATTTACATGAAGTGAAAAAAGTAGTTTGTCAGTTGCTTTGAATTTCAAGACGAGCTGTTTTAGAATATTACTACATCAGGCGGTAGAAGTACTGGATTGTGTGGACGAGGCACACTGGCATGCAATTTTGGCTGAACATGAACGGTTTAAAACCAGAGGATGTATCTTTCATGTATAGGAAGGTCGTATTCTGCACAGAAAAGGGTTATGAGATGATATTTTAGAAGAGCAAAAGTCAACAGTACATGAACCTCTACCAAAAAGTTTTTTTCTTAATAATAAAAACTATTTATTGAATGAATGAAATGGTTAACCATCCGGACAAACTAAATTATCTTTATTACATAAAATTGTTCATTACAAAAATCCAATAATAATCATGTAACCTGCACTATTCTTTTCCTTTGACAATTCCTCTGCAGAAGAGAGGTACTTGATGGTATGTTCAAGTACAAAGCATAAATGGATTCTATTGCACAGAGCACTGAAATTTTTCTCACCAATACTTAAAATGAAATACTAACTCAATTTTGTTCATGCTGGCTTCCTTTATTCAAGTCTTCTGCACCATGTGCAAACTGGCAGTGTTCTCTGGTCTTTGGGCAGCCATCTGGATGATTATCATGAAACCAACACAATTTAGTTTTCACTGGTTTTTGTTTCAAGTCCTTTTGTTTGATCTTCTGTTTTTTACGTGGAGGTACATTATACTGTAAATTGTGTCCATCTTGATCATCATATCTAAGCCTTACAGCTCCCCCACTTACTGGAATGGAATTGATAATCAAAAGTTAAATCTTCATGTCTTGGTTTAAAGATTTCAAAGTTAAAATGGTGCAAGGCTAAATAATTAGTGTGCATATTTACAAATGTCATGTAGACTGCTCACAATGCCTTAAAAAATCTGAAGATCAATCCAAAAGTTTTATCAATATTTTAAAATCTTAAGTAAAATTATTTTCCCTTAGAAGAAAAAAAAAAACGTCTTAAGTAAAATCATTTTCCCTTAGAAGAAAAAAAGTATTTCCCCTATATTTTGGATCTAAAGTACTCGTATCTATACCTTGAAAGATGTTATGATGATTTCTCAGCAATGTTTGCACTCCACCACATTCACTTTTAAGCCTCTTCAGTATATCACTGCCCAGTAAACTGACAATACTGGAGAGTGGGACCACACCTACAACAATAAAACACTAAAACTTATTTTTACTTCATTGATATTTTTCATATTATTTTCAATAGTTATTATAAATTTCTTGTGTAAGTCAACATCATTACATTTTTAAAACAAATTTGAAATTATTCTCTAACGGTGCAATATCAATATTATTTGACTTAAGACCTTATTTTCTTCAATAAAGTACCTCCTTTACACCAGTTACGACCATATTCAGTACACATTAAAACAGCGTCTTCTGCATTCAGCACAGCATCAAACACCCTCTGGACAACCTCAGATGTCAGATCATGAGGCAACTGGGTACAGTTTCGAACTTTCTCTACTTTTGCCCTTGGTTGAAAAGAGAGTGCCCAAGCTTTATCAGTCGTATTTGTAGTCTGTAATTTATCAGTTGTATTTGTAGTCTGTAATTGTCCATCTCCTGTCCTATTAACACTGACAGCATGCTCATTATCAGAATCCAATGGAGTTCCATGACTATGACCTGTCAATTGTATTGGGCAGTGGTTGTCAACCATATTTTTGCACCTGGACTTTATGTATTCAGTTATTCTCTGATCTACCATTGCCTCTTCTGAGGTTGTGTAACTTCTGCTTTTCCCTATCAGACATATCTGAAATAAAATAGCACTTACACTAACAACATGTGGCTCTTAAAGAGAGAAATGTTTGTTTTTTGTAAATGAGATATTACATACCAGTCCATTACAATTTACAGATTTGATCTTCTGTAGTTTTGCTTTCCATGAAACAAAATTTAAGAATGAGTGACTATTTTAATTCTTGTACCTCTACAAAACTTTGGTGCCAAATTTTTTCGTAGAAGTTTGACTTCAACTCACACGTTTAGTGGATGGTATCCTTAGTGCATCTTCTAACACATCAAAACCACACACTTCACATACAGTCTTGATGAAATCCAGGTACGTCCTATACTGGCTCTCTCCTGCATTCTTACCACTGAACTTGCTGTCAAAGTCATGATGACAACATGGTAGCACAAAAAATCTGGTGTTATAGGAGGACCTGAAAATTGTATTGAATTTCATAAAACTTTGTTTAAATTCTAAAATTTAAATGAAGTTAATATCTAATTCACATTAATTCACATGAGAATTGTGTCAAGGAATAAAAAAATTCCAACAACAAATAATGGTGTTATGGGCCAAATAAAAGATATTATCAACAGACATACCAAACATAGAACTATGCATATAATGTGCGCTAACCTTGCTGCCATTACTGGTATCCATGGCGTCAACTCATCACTATGGTTACCAATAAGCCAATCTGTGTTGGAAAAAAGATTGGTATCTGAGGGTATGATTGGTGCTTCCTGAAATAATAAACAATGTCAATAATTACATGTAATCAATACCCTAATCCCCTCTACTCCTTGGTTTTAGAAGAAATGCAAACCTCAATGAATGGTCTCCAAGGCAAAAGCTTTGTAAACACAAAATTGATTTTGTTACATTAATATGTCATGGTTATAAAGAGGTATGAAATATCTCCAACTACCAGATTCAGGGTTTGATTTAAATAAGTACCTATCAAATTTTTCAAATACATAAGGAATAGCAAAAGAGCAGGCTAGACCATTCCATTACAAATTGCCACATCTTACTTGTACATGCCTAAGGAGGTAACATAATGAAAAGAAAAATCTTTCAAACTTGACAAGAATACCTACTCTGAGATCAATGCTATCTCCATACATATCCCAGATGTTCCTCTTCCTGACATCTATCCCAAAACCTGGGTGCTGGAAGGTGATTTAAACATGTGGAGTACATGCTGATATATTGTGACAGTTGTGCATGATGCAATGTTCAAAATTATGGTAGATAAAATGTCTTCAAATAAAACACGAGAGTTTTAGAGAGAGCGAAAACTGAAGGGACTGAAGCCAACAAGCTTGTCTATTTTCTTACTCTGAAGTTGGATTCCATCAGCTCAAAATAAACAGGTTTATATTTCCCTTAAAGGCCTCTGTTGTGTCAATTGTGTAACATTTTTTTTCTAACTTTGGAGAAATGTTCTCTTACCCCTTCTTGCCTCAAGATATGCACCAATAGCCCATTACCACAACCAAGATCTGCAAAAGACTGCTTCTTCTCAAGTCCCAGGTCTACACGTTCTCTTTCCCAGGTGACCTAAAACACAAAAATAGTGAATTTTTGTAAAGAAGAGTAAGTAAAAGGCAAAAAGAAATGCTTTTCTTTTTTTTAATCGCCATGTTTTGGTTTTAGTGAGTATTTCAAGAGGGGATAGAATGATGGTAAGCAGCTAGTAGTACATAATTTCAAATTAAAAAGAAAAAGAAAAACATTAAATCTTGGAATGCTTTGACATTCTCTCCACTTTGAATCAACTTAACTGCCTGACTCTCTGACATGATTCAGTATCTAATCTACACAAATTATCTCATTTCATTTTGAAACAACTAAATTCTCGGACTCTCTGGAATGTGATTCCTTATTCGATGTATACAAATTTTATTATCTTACCAGTAAATATGTTGCAATGGCTACATCTTCAAAGACAAATTTTTGGGGGTCTGTCCTTTCAGGCCACTTCTGAAAATTATCAAACAGTTAATGACAATATTGGTGAACAGTGCAAGTGTCCAGAAACTTAAAACTACCTTAGTTTGAACTTAAAGATAATATTTTCCCTTTTAAGTAAGTTTATAATTTTACAGGAAGCACTTTCAACTGTTATTATAATGTATAAAATATATAATAAATACATCTTTATGTCCTTTATCTGTTTTATAATTAATGAAAATTTTATTATCACTATTATGATCCTGATAAGTGTAACAGTTCCAAATAAATATCATCATCACCTTCCAAAAAAAGAGAAATTAATACCATGATTTATTACATTTTTATGCAGGCCTGTAGCCAGCAATTTCATAAAGAGGTTCTTTTTTTTTAAGTGGACCTTTTACAATGAAACTTTTGTGAACCTAGATCAAATTTTACCCAGAATGGACCTATTCCTGACAAAATGGGTGGTTCTTTTAGCTACTGGCCTGAAATATGTAACACTCAATTGCTAACTGACATGGTTTGTTTCTTATCCTTGCCTCAACTAGTTCTCTCCCATATTTTTCCTTCAGATGCTGGTACAAATCATTGTACGCATCAATTGGCAAAAGTTGTAATGATGAAATGTTGGGTTTTCTAAGAGGTGGCTCTTCCATCCATTTGGCCATCTTGTGTAATATGACATCACACAGCCACTGTTCACTGCTGTCACTGGGAGGCATGTCTGGATCCACACACACATTCAGCTTTAACCTACAAGTACATTTAAGAAAAATTATTGGATGTTTAAAAGAAATTATCAGGTTACTCAGAGAATAAAACATGTCAAGTTAACCTGCGTCTCACTTAAACTGTAGCATATCAATAGATTTATATATAATTTACGTACCAGTATTTATGACTACTTGCTGCTGGTCTCCAAGTTTGATGAGAACATGACAAATCCAGAAACCAGGGTAGCTCTAAAACTGCAATTTTTTTATTAAAAAATAAATTTAAAAAGGAACACTTAATAATGTTCTGAATGAGCATATATACATGTACTTACTGACATTTTCCATCTTCTACACACAGTTTTACTTCATAAACAAGATCCTTGCACTCACTACTGCTGGACTGAATGCCTTCCTTCTTGTAATGCCATAGAGGGAGAATGACCAAGCTTGAACCCAACCTGTCTGAAATCAATTATCAAAAATATTTCTGTAAATAGAGACTAAAGACCGAGACTGTTACAGGTAGCGTAGAGAAGTACAATGAAGCATGTTAATTAGCTAATCTCCCAGACAGACAAATAAATAATAAACATGTACCCCCCCCCACCAAAAAAAAAAAATTATAATAATAATAATAACAATTATAACAGGAAGAAAGAAAGAAATTCTTTACCAACATAAATGCATTAAGTAATTCCCTTTCTTACATGCCATTTCCACCTGCTATTTTGGTAATTGTAATTTCCAAATTTTCCTTACAGTATCCAGATCCTGATTGGGGGGGGGGGGGGGGGGGGGGGCTGTTAGAGGTTGTGATAAATCTACAGTACTAGTGCTCACATACAAGTGAACTAAACTCATGAAAGTTTATACAACTGGATTACCTAAGACAACAAGCTGTCTTATTACAGGAAACGTGTTAGTATTCCTTGGCAACAAATCCTGTAGTATGATTTCGTTTGTCATACATGCAACAAAGTGTGAGGTATCATCGCGATCACGAGCACCTGAATGAGGCTGGGCCAATTTACTCTTCACACAATCGGCCCAAAGTTCGTTCTTGAATTGAAATGGTGTCGATTTCTCGGCTATAATTGTTCTGTTTTGAAAAAGAATGTCTCTGATGTCAAATCTTAGTTGTGATAGTTTTTCAAATGAAGCAAGTTGTACAGCCCCACATAGCCTTCTGTTCACTACCTGTGGTTTTTCTATGTACACACGTGCAGCTCTGATAAATGAGTCTACAAAGTCATCGTTTGAACAATGTACATCCAAAGAATTTGCTTCTTTCCACTTTGATTGTATTGGCGATACATACGTTGAGTTATCCATAGTATAATGTAACAAACACAATGTGACACGATACAATTATTCTGCGATTACCCTTCCATGGACCAACATGTCTCAGTACGTGTTGATGTTCAAATGCGATAGTTGTACTTTTAGGCACAACCAGCACAATTTGCTTTGAGCAAAGACAAATTTTTCTTGTCATTATTTTTCATATATATTATTTTTATACTATTTTTACTTGACTGATGTCATCAAAAACTATTTGGATTATATAATTTGTTGATATATTTAATTTTATGCTCTAAAAACAAATATGTGGGAGTTCTCGTTACTTGGTGAAGGCGCCATATTTGATATATTGTGCAGACGACGAACATGTGTTTATTTCCTGGTATTACATGTCTGGCCATTTTCCTGCCATATTTCTGGCTTCTTTGTATGCCATTATATGGCTCATTTAGTGGAACTGAACCTGTCGTCAGATTTTCATTGATGATGCAATTTCAAGCAATAATTATGTCTGCATTTCCAGTTGGTTTGGTAAGAAAGTAGGGAAGACGACACGACAAAGTAAAAGTAATAAACGTAGTGATAATTTTTTTGTTTCCGTATCTATCTCATATAAGTGATAGGTTCATGAGAAAACAGGATGAGGTGTTGAGGATGTATTAGTGCCACACAAAACATTGTTCTTATTTTAAAAATTCGTGTGAATTAAAGCACCCTGAAAATGAAGGTACTGTAGCATTTACACAGCCCAATTTTTCATGAACACTTACTGGTACATGGCATAAAATATATATTATACATATATTACAGGAAAGTAGGGAAATCTTGTGTTTTTATTGAAGTATTCCGTTTGTAATGAAGTGATATGTACAAAGCTTCTCTCTCTCTCTCTCTCTCTCTCTCTCTCTCTCTCTCTCTCTCTCTCTCTCCTCCCCCACCCCAGTCCCCCCCCAGCTATCACCAGTATAGCTGGTACTGTTATGCCTTGGTTCGTTACTGATCTGAAAACAAGTTCTCAATTTAAAATATTCTTCCATCTTTCAGTTTCCAAAACTTTGTCACTACCAGTATGTCATGCTACCGTAAATTATCAGAAATGTTATGGTGTAATCAGTACCAGTATTGGGGGCGTCTCGATAGTCCGAAGGTTCATTGGTCCGAAGGTTCATTGGTCCGAAAAGTGGTAACATTTTCATCGATTTTTTAATCAAGGGTTCATTGGTCCGAAGGTTCTATAGTGAACATTCGGACCAATGAACCTTCGGACTATTGAACCTTCGGACTATCGCTACGGCCCCCCAGTATTTACCGTAGTTTTGTCTTTTAAGATATCATCAGCTTGTGTAAATTTTTGTCAGGTACATGTATATTATTTATGTATATATACCTGGTACACTATACTAAAATAATATCCACAGTTATGATGACCTTGGTATATTTAATTTGCAGGTCTCATTTATTCCCTGCTTAGAACTGGTGACACTATGCGTACTGATGTGCCTTCCAGTCAGCCTTACCCCATTCCCAGTGGTGTGGCTATATGATAAACTCCTGTGGCTCAGTGAACCGGTATGGATGTTGACAGAAGTATTGATACCTCTAGAATGGGCAATGGCCATGAGTCAGAAGGCTGTGGACAGACTGGATGAGGAACCCACAAACCTGGCAAAGGTTTCTTGTTGATCTGTTGTATGATTCTATAGTAAAGTAGTGATGTTTATATTTTTGAATTAAAAAATTCTAGTACCTCCCAGCCTACCACCTGTGTTGTTGTTGTGCGTAATTAAATATTGGATAGGTAAAAAGACTAAAACATTTTAGTTTCTCAAAAACAATTCACTGCATTCCAATGAAATTTCACCTAACATTACTGTATAAATTTCACTCTGGCTCTCAATTAGTTACATTCATTATGGTTTTTGTTACATCCCTATGGGATTCAATCCAAAACATGAAAGTTTGAGTTAAGCCTGTTACATGTATATTGTCATCTGTACATTTTGAGAAAATGAGCAATAGAGTTGTGTCATTTAAACCAGAAATTTATGCACTCTCTGTTCGCATGTCACCAGCATGTTGGTGGTACAAAATAATGTGACATGTAGGTTTTAACTCTTTTATTACTGTTTAGAAGTTAAACTGATATTATCTCATTATAACATGTCTTATTGTATCACTGCAAGACCCAATCTTTTTAATGAAATATTTAACTGAAGCACTCATTTAGTAAATATATAGTTTTCCTCTGTTAAATGCCCTATTAATAAGATGAAATGAAATTCTGCATCCTACTTTGCAAGGTCATTTGTTCATCTTTTCTTAGTTTCTACATGAGGTCCTCTTTTTTGTTTATTTCTTAGGGAATGATACTAGGTTTGTCAACCCTTTGCTATGCTGTGGTGTTATATTTTGGTATAGAACTATATAGGTTATATAGTGATTCAACCCTAACTGTATGGTGAGTTCAACAAGAAAAAAAAACAGGTTGTCTAAATGTATTATACTTAAGCAGGTGATTGATATATTATTTTTACTATCTTAAATGTAGATTTCCAGTAATCTTTCCTTTTGTGCAATCAAGTATATTAATAAGTGAAAATGTTAATTTATTGTAGTTAATATCTTTAAAATGATTTTCCGTCTTTCTTTCAGCATGCTATGTATTCTTTTGGCACTGTCTGTTCTCTGCCATATTATGATGTGGAAAGTTGATGAAGGTAGGTAAAAGAGATATCTCTCTGAGATGAAAATATTTTTTCAATGTATGAAAAGGTACCTTTTTTTCTACTTTGATTGACCGAATCAAATGTATTTTTCAGTGATTAGGAATTCTGATTATCAAGCCCATACATTTGCATTATATATTGTGTGCTTATGATGCAAACTGTTCTTCTTTTTAAGTGTAGATGTCAAATTGTTAATTATTTTTCTAAATTAATTTAAGAGCATAGCTTATTTGCATGATATTCACAAATCAGTTTCAGATCTCTTTATATTTAGCAAAATTTTTAAAAAACTGCCAGTGGGTTTTTCATGTTAAAAGATAATATTATGATTTCTGATAAAATCTATTCTTGTCTGGTGTTATAATTCATAAAAAAGTTGTTGTTTTTTTCAGGCATAATTGTTGATGCTGCATTTGTGAGTGTATTCAGCATGCTATTCCTGTACTGCTATCACATAGAAAGGGTAATACTGCAAAACCCACTACCAAAACCTGATACTTGGAAAAGGTACAATTCTACATAATTTTCCTAAAAAATAAAGTATAGTAATGTAACTTTTCCACCATTAAGTTTGCTGTTTGTCTTATTCCTCATGGTGATTTGATATGTAGAGCTGATTTATGGGGTTATTGGCTGTGCAAATTTTCTAGCACTTCTGACTTGCATATTTCTTCTGCCGTTAAGATTGAGGACACTGCTTCCAGGTGATTGATGTCACCTGTTGCAGGAGATCCTTAAGACATATCATCTGCATTTTCATGTGTACCCTGGTTTGCTGTGTCTTGCAAATTACTGCGTTCATATCGCATCACCTCTGCCTAGGAACAAGAAAAGCCGTGCTCGTGTAGTGTGTCAATCAAAAAACAAGATGCAAAATGATGGTGCTTTTGCACACCTAAACCTAGATGGAGCAGTGTTAGTATAGCCCGCGGTCTGATTGCTTTCATAATGCACTGTCCCACAAAAGCTAGTTTTACATCGATGTCTTTGCCTGCAAACATTGTCCTCAAGAGAACTTAGAGATACATCACTAGTCTCTGCTGACAACTTTAATGGAATGTTTTTTCCAGTTCTGAAATTACTTGAACATTGCTGATGGTAAACAGCATCTGCTGCGTGAAGGTCAATAATAAAAGCCAGTCTTGCCAACACTGCTTCAGACTATTCACCATTCCTAGAATGGCAAATCTTTCTTATAGTGTCCTGATAGTCACCTATTCTGACTCTAAATACACCAATATCTTTTCTCTTCTTATCAACCTGTGCTGGTTGGCCACAGAATAAGCAGTGTCCTTTGAAGTTCAACTTTTTCTCAGAATGGAGGCCAGGACCAGATTCTGTCATTTCTTCTGACGTAGCCTTGTTCCTTGCAATGTTGTTGGGTTTGCAGTATGTACGTTGACACTCTGCATGAACCTGATCTCCAGGAGCAGTCCTCATATCATTACCGCACTGTACGATGAACCCCTTTACTCCCTTTTGATCTGAGAGTTAAAATTTGTTCTCCTTCAGAGATTGGTTTTTCACGTATGCAGAATTTTATTCATAGTTGGTAATCCTGCTGAAAAGTTTAAAGTTTAGTCTGTAAAAAAGATCAAAGAATATCTTTAAAGATATGAATGACATTTTTATATCCAATAAAAAGCAGGACAAAGAAATCTAATCAAAAATATGTGATAAAAATCAAAATAGTTGTTTTTCTCAATACGTATAAAAACAGAGAGTTTGATATATTAGCTTGACATGTACCCTATGTTCTCTAATTTATGTGCTCTTACAGCAAAAGATCAAACTGTCCACTTATTTAATAAAGCTGTATTTCAACAATATTTCAACCTGGATTAGGAATTTTGAACTTCAAGTAAACTTACACTCATCAACATTACATTGCACATGCTAAATTACCAGATGATGCAGAAATGTCTATCTGTGAGTGGCAATGGTAGATGCAATATGACCACTTACTGCTAACATACTTAATTACTTATGATATAAATATATATGTTTTAATAATATATTCAGTGTCCACTGTTGGTGCATTCCCTGAAGAAATCTTCTTTTGAATAAATACAATATGTAAAATGCATGGAGTGATTTCCCGTACAAAATGTCAAAATCAGGAATCTTGACCATTTTCATCTAAAGGAGTAGGGGTAGAAATTGATACATTTTGTAAGAAGTTATATTTTGAATCTATAAATGGATTATTACCAATGATAGTATTATCACACAGCTACCATTATACAGACTGTGACTATGTCTTCAAGATCAATTAACCAATAGGGCCTACCCAAAGATTTGCAAAAGTGAAGTGACAGCAGTGAAAAATGCATTTTTCTTCTTTTTCCAGCTAGACAACACAAAATAAAGATATAGATCAGTTATCAGATATGCATTTTACCCTATATTGTCTGGCTATTAAAAACGTGCCAAAGAATTACCCAGGTCCTGTGTAAATTCAATAAAATAACATTGTTTGCAAATAAAACTGTAAAATTCCATTATTTTAGGGGGTGGGGGTTCACAATGAAAGTAATAACTAATCTACAGTTTGTAACAAAATATAGGTACAAGTCTGAAAGGTCAACCTCTTGGAAATCCATTGATACCTTATTTTTGGTGATTACATGGATGTGAAGGGACTTATATGGTCATTATTAAATAATGAATGTGGTACAATTTTCTGAAAAATCTGTATGCCCCTTAAGTACAAAGTGTAAAATTAACCATATTTCCCATGTAAGGATTTCTTAGGGCTTTTAGTACGTCATTCTAGAGACATCATAGAAAAGCACTGTGGTAAAATTAAAACTTGTAATTGCTTTGAGGTTTGGCCCTAAAATGGCTTAGATTGCCTGGACTAATGATGAATTTCTACATTTATTGTATAGGATTGAGGGCAGCATATCATACCTAGGATTGCTGTATTCATTTACCAACGCAAGTCTGTGTAAGTGTTGCCTTGTCTTCAAATCTTGATCAGATAAACCTTTGATTCGACTTCTTGACGTTATTGTAATGTGATAAATGTTCTGGACTTAGAAATATCTGTTTTAATATTTTCTCAACTGGATTGAATGAGAAATGTACTTAGGGGAGAATACTTTATAATTAAATTTCTGCATTTCAGTAAATGCCAACCGTGCCATGCAGTTCATGAAGAAGCTGTTTTCACCTGTGTTTGTGTTGTTTTCTCTACTGAGGTTGTTCAGTGTGTTGACAGCAGTTGGTATAGTTGTCAGGAAAGGCTCAGATCAGGCAAGTACCTTAATTTTCAGTAAATTCTTAATAACAACATGCTGCTTTTGTGGATGAAGAAAGATTATAAGATCACCAAAATAAACACGCCCTCTTTTTTGTAGAATGGGCCCTGCTTTATCTTTAAAGCTATCCCTTAATGATCTATTCTTACCTTTATTTGGTGCACTGGTTTCCCTCTTTGATAAACTAAAATAAATACTGGGTAAATATAAATTAAGTATTAAATTTAATAAAAATTTCATATATGAAACCACTGTATGTAATGCGCATTAATCCCAATGGCCATAAGCCTCCTCTCCCACTACTAACCTTACTTTCTCTTGGGCATTGAATAACAAAATCAATTTTGCAATCAGAAAAATGATATTTTGCTTTATGAATTATATGTATACTTATGACCAGACTATGATCATATGCTTACCATTTTTTTCTTTTGTGGCACTTCCATGTGCCAGATTCACCAAGCAGAGTCTAAGAATAATGATATTTTGTTTTATTTCTAGGAAGAAGAATGTGATATGGGCGATGATAGATTTGAAATGCATTTTGACTCACTTATACGTAAAAGTCCAGTCGTAGTAAGACTATCAGTGATCTTTGTCTATACACAGTTAGTGACACACCATCTCCAGTCAGCTGTCATTGAGCCAGCAGTTGGTACATATGCTCTGCCTCTTATGAATACCGCCAGGATCTCACAGGCTTTACTCATACAGGGGATATATCTTTACAAAATGTGCAATCAATACAGAGATGAGAATGCTGAATGAAATTTTGTAACTATATTTTTTCTTTTGTCGTCATTCTTGAAATAATTTTTCTTTAAAATTTTTATTTTTGTCTAGTTCTTAAATTCATAACCAGTCATAGTTTATGAATTCTCTTTACTTCACATATCGGTAATTTTTATTCATTTAAAATGCTTTATCATTCACTACTTTTTCATACGTGGAGAAATTGCGTGTTCAGGCCTTATAGACGAAATTGCCGCTTGTGATTGGGAAACGCGAACTGATGACTTCGAGCGCCAAATTGACGATTTAGAACCGTGGTTGTATCAATAGTAACTCCCAGGATCGCGTTATTGACTCTAAACCGCAAGTTGCTTCACCCTCCAGTTCAACACGTACTCCAAGTCACTAACTTCAATTATCGTTTATGAGGCCAGATGTTTATGTGTATAAAGGATATAAATGGATTTAAAAACTCACTTTCCTCCCAAACATAGGAGGCTGTAGATAATGAAATGACCACTTTTGAAATTATGCGAAAATTCAAAAATGAATTTATATTTAAACATTTTGATTTAAAAAACTAACATTTTTCAAATGAAAGTCAAAAAAGAATTGTTAAAGTAGCTTCTCTACTCGTAAACTTTACGAATAAAATTCGTTTTGTCCGTCCAAGTTGCATACGCGAGTTAGCGATAGAAATTATGAAGTCCTAAAACTGGCGTAAAAAAAACCCGGTTGATACGAAGCAGACACTGCGAATTAGCACATATACGCATGAAAAACGTTAAAAGGAGTACTAACGTGTAATTTCCCTGCAAGGTATGCTTCAGCATAACGCTTTTGCTTTATGTTGTGACAACGTGGCAAGTCCCTAGCGAAATCTGTTGAAAATTAAGTTTAGTTAAAGGTGTTTGAAACCGGACGCTGCTATATGTATACATTAATTAAAGGTGTTTTAAGATAAATGTTTGCAGAAAAAGGTCGAAGTCAGAGAACTATTCCTTAGCAACTAGTTTAATACACAGGAAACCCTGTTTGATAGCAGTCGGTAATCTTGGGGTTTGTTTAAATGTCAAGGCTAACAAGCTGAATCCTGTTTAGTCTAATTTTGCCGTATGGCTATTCATTAACCATCCTATCTGATACTGTTATTGTTGCTGTTACTAAAATAATCATTTCAGTCCGAGAATCTCCATCGAAAAATCAAATTAACAAACTTCAATGTTGGGTTAAATGCCAAACCCTCGTTTAATTGATTCACGGTATTTTTGCAAACGTCTTAAAGGCTACTTGGGGGAATTGCTACATGTAAAAAGAAAATAAGGCGTCTGGATAAGCAGATAAGGCGTTCACTCTTTCATATATTTTTGATGGCAATAAAAAGGAAATTTTCACTTGTTTTGTTTTCTGGTAAGCTTGGAAGCAGATAAGCAGGATTTTTATAAATTATAGGTTGTTACAATTAACGTATCCTCAATCGTCATTCGGAAAAAAGGTAGTTTGGTAACGTACAATTTCCATTTTGCTGATCTCGCTGCCTCTCTCCCTCTCTCTCTCTCTCTCTCTCTTTTTTCTTTCGTGATCTAAGGTGCTGTGCCTGTTTCTGTGCTGTATAAAGTTTGTAATTTGACACCAACTAATAATGCTTTCAAAACTGCAGTTTTTTCCCTTAATTAAGCAAGTACGATCGACTTAAATTGCCAAATGTCACACTAAGGAATTTGGCTCTGTGAAACTTGTAGTTGCGTGTTTCTACCTCTGCCGCCGTTTACCTTTCCAATATTGGTAGATAAGTCTAATTGAACTGCTTTCTGACAACTAAAAGCGGCTATAGACTTGACTTAATTGACCCTCTGCCAAGCCAAGAATTTGCGTAGAATAAATCAAAAAGCGAATATCAATTTCAAAAATGTATTTAATATGCAAACAACATCGGCAAGGTAAATCAATCATCATCAAATAATATTGCTTCCGAAATGTTTTCCCACGGTGTGCAGTATGTGCCGTATCGCTAAATGAAAAAAAAAAGAGGTTTTGAGCGTATTTCCATATGCCATTCCCAGTAGATTCCATCGAGCTGAAAATATCACTATATTTATCTTTCAGAGTCGGTTTTCGTGGGCAGGAGTATTATTTTAGATGCTCCCCTTTCAGTACTCTAAATTGAATGCCGCGAGGAAATGGTTTGAACGCATTTTCTTATGATTAAGAATCGAGAGGCACGTGCTGACTATGAATTCCGAGACACAAGTCGTTCAGCTTTTATCTGGTGGCACACTTCCATTGATTTGTACTTCTGGGCAGCGTGTTACCTGACCAGTTGCGCACGTTACGTCTAATTCAAAGTAAACAGTTGGAAAATTGCATGATTAGTCAATTAAACGTACTGGAAGTTTCGGCACCTTCATCTGGGCTCATGATTGAAAAAAGAAGCCTACCTTTGCTAAAACCTTCAGTGGAAAACTGGTATTTTCTGTTAAAGGATTTTTTATGTCCTAATAAAATGACATTTTTTTCTTGAGAACAGATGACAATTGCTGTGGCTGTGAACGTCACCGCTGCTGCATCTCACGACTTCCAATATCGATTAGGTGAAAAGAAAAATGACTTGACATAAATGTCCACATAATGTTGAGTCTAAAGCAGAACCTTTTTTTGTTTGTTTTCTTTTCTTTTTCTCAGATCGATATAGCGGGATATGAAGTTCTGAGTAAAAGTTAAGTGGATGCAGTCATCTATCGCGATATTAATAAAGCCAGCTTATTGCTGAATCTATTTCAGAATTTTCGGGAAGTTTATCTTTTTCCTTTCGTTGTTATCAAGACAATCATACGTGTGAGTTTAAGTGTTTCGGAAATGCTGGAGATTAAACGGAATATATGAACGGAATTTACGTACACACGAAGAGCAAACATTGCGCCGTGCAAATAGTTACATGGTAAACAGTTTACGTGGCAATACGGCGACCTAGCAAAAGCTGGAATGTTTTTGACATGCTGCGCAGTTTTAATATGCGAGCAGCTTTTTCATTAAAACGAGTTTTTCATATGCGTAATTAGTTTTTTGTCAGTAACGGGTCCGCCATTCTTTATCATTGACAAAAGATTTTCATGAATAAAAGCCACAGGGGGCGTGATTGTTTTCATTTTAGCCACAAAAGGAGGCTCCAATTATCTGACGTCAATAGCAATCTAAGGGTCGTTGCCATAGTTGCATCTGTGAGCCAATCAGGATCCAAAATGAGATGTCAATCATGACCCCTTCGCGCCTTTTCAAGACGCGCGAATTGCCCACCCACGATGGGCCAATAGTAGAGGGAGAGAGCAGTGCTAGCTTTTGTACCCACGTGCAGGTCCCCGTACCGCTCTTAGTTAGTAGCTTGTAGTCAGTGTAGAACTATGAAGATGGATTCCCTTAGCCAACAAAACTCATGTAATAGCGTAGACGGGGATTCAAACGACCCTGGGTGAGTGTGAATTCTTGACTTAAAACGTAGAGGTCAAGATGGAGATTGTGGTCGTTCATTTATGTCACTCGCGATGACCCGATTTTGAACCCTTTGTTGTCAACTTCTCACGCGTGATTACTTTTGTTTTGCAGGAAAATGTTTATCGGAGGACTAAGTTGGCAAACCACCGCAGGTAAGTTGTTTTATAATTGTATTTTGCATGGTTAAAAAACCGTCTTTCCTATCCAGTAGAATTTTGGGAACTGGTCGCTTTTGACAAGATATTTCCAATATGGAGGCATTACTGAAGTATCCACGTGAAAAGACAACTGACCTCACTTTCTCTTTCAGAGGGACTAAGAGATTATTTCGGCAAATATGGAGCTATTAAAGAGACGACTGTTATGAAGGATCCAGTAACACGGAGATCTCGGTCAGTATTTCATGCAGTCTAAGGATCAATATTTGACGTAAATCTGCTACTTTAGGTACTAGGTCACTGTATAGCCACAGGGCCCAAGCTGAGTAATTATGGGTGCCTAAACCGTAGCATTCCCACGTTCATTTTAACCCTCGTGCTCAGTTTAGTGCCATTGTTCACTATCCTTAATACCACTACATGATCTAGTTTCAATAGCTGTAGCTGTGTTACTCAACGTCCTAGCAGGCCATCTGTTGTGATAACAATCTTGTCTTAGGTTGTATATTGTATAGCTGTTACTTTCAGGGGCTTTGGCTTTGTAACCTACATCGACCCAGAAAGTGTAGAAAAGGTTTTAAGTAGTGGACCCCATGTAATAGATCAGAAGCAGGTAGGATGCTTTGGTTGTATGCCATCTAGAAATTTATAAAAAAAATAATAAACTATTAATACTAACTGCAGTTGTGAAAATGCTTGTCTTGTGGCCTGCCTGATATCTATTAGTAGTAGTAAATGATTAGTTACAAAATGTTGCATTGTATGAATATTTGTCAACAATGTTTCACTCTTGCCACACAAGCACAATGTCGCATATAGTACGCTGAGGCTAGTTCATTGCTTCTTTTCTCATTTAAATATCACCTGCCAAACTGTCACCTGCATTAACTCATTGGACAAAAGACTTGGTTCAGAGGCTTCAGGTACAAATAACACCTCTGCCTGAGATTCACACCTCTCTGTCTTAAAATAAGCCAGTGAACTAATATGTGTCCTTAGTCTTTAAGATTTTACATGTTGGATATTATTGTAAACAAAAATCACTAAATTTTCACACACGGAGGTGAAGAACTTAACTAGTTACTCATATTCCAATTTTCCACTTCATTTACAGGTGGACCCCAAGGTTGCAGTTCCAAAACGACCACAACCAAAGGTATTGAACCGTTTCATTGATCTTTGTATTTGTATGCATGAATGGGTCATTTCTAGTGTTGTTTTTGTTTACTGCTGTCCCTATGCAGGGGGAAAATTATTATCATGTTAGTGACTGGTAAGTTAAAGCTCTTTTATACTAATATATGGACTGAGGAAAATCCTCAAAAGCAAGTTAGGAAAAATACAAAAGAAAATAAGGCCACAAAAATTTATATGAAAAAAGTTTACTTAAACTCGATTCAATTGTTACTAACAACACTGAGTTAGATCCAAAATTGTGAAATATTTAATTGGAGTATAATTAAGGATAGGAAATGTTTTGTGTAGAAAAGGTGAATGTAATTTATGGAGGTGGGGTCAGCTGTTGAGTACGGTGGCGTCACTGATCAGGAGAGAAGTGGGTTACAATTGATTTCCTTAACCTAATAAATAGCAGAAGTTGCTCTGGTTAACAGTTCTGACAGAATAAAGATAAAGTCCAGATTTAAACGAATTTCCCAAGGTGGTCATTGTAATTCTGGCTGAAGCATTGCTGAATCCAGCTTTTCACAATACTGTACCAGTTTTTATCCAATATGGCTTTTGTGTGTTCCCACGGACCTAAGAAACTGTTTAAGTGAAAACATGTTTCCAATTTTGATAAGAGAGTGAAAAGTAGTAAGAATAGCTGGCTCCATGTTCACATTTGGACTCTATTTATGTTATTTATCCTTAGTATGTCCATTTGAGAGAAGAAAATGGGAGTAGGGTTTCATTTCCCCTGGCATGTGAACCTTGATTAACCCTTGGGTGAGCAGGGAAATTACTCTGAATAATTCCAGCATATCAGTTTATTCAAATCTGACGTTGTTTGGTGATTTATCAGATATTTTTTAAAGAAATGTTTAAAGGGGGTAGTTTTAAATTGATATCAAAGGTCATAATGATATGCTTAAGGAAACAGTTTTGTGGTAAAAAGAGGGATTGTGTCTAAGGCTCTCATATTACACAAATCCCTTGTTAAATTTGTCTGTAACGCAAATTGCCACAATAACTCAGACAGCATTAAATCTGGGCGTCATCAAGACTGTTGGCAGAGAGGCTTATCAAGCAGGCAAGCAAGATAAAATGAAAATTTGTTTAAGAATTACAATGGACATTAACAAGACCTAGGCCGTCTTAATGCCTCTGCCAATGTTGACCGGAATGTTTTGTTCTGTGAAGCAAAAACTGCTCTAATGAAGTACATTCTATTTCACTAGAACCAAGACCGTTATAGTTTGAATGGATTTTCCTTATTTATAGCCCTTGTTTGTAACCATGGAATTGATTGGGAACCTCAAAATTTCTAAATGCCAGATCTCTGTGTGCTCCTTAAAGTCTCTTATATGGGAGGGGAAGTAAATCATCTTAGTAGTGTTGCAGTCCTCAGAGTTGGAGTGGAGAGCAGGTCCACCCTGCCAGTGGTGTGTTCTCAGGGAAGCTTATTGAACATTGTGTGCTTGAGTGTGTAAAGTTTGCTGAGTATGCTTACTTTATTCAATGCAAATTGCATGTTTTCTAGTGGGAAGCATAACCTTGGTATCCAAGCTGCTTACACATAACCAACGGGCAAAGTAAATCCTCCGCTAAAGCAAACACGTTTCAAAAAGGTCCATTCAGGTCCAGGATAAGGGGCACTTGTTTGCCGTGGAATGAATTAATTGAATGTGATATAATTTTACTTGACAGCAGTCTTTCATGTTTTCATTCTTTGGAAAAATTTTATGTAAGATTTTGAAACTTAAACTCAATGTAAACAGTGTTGTTTTGATTTCCATACAAGGTCCTGGCTTGGTTTCAAAAGTTAAATTATGGTAATAAGATTACAAGTGTCATCTTACACAAGAATACATTGTTTATTTCTCAAAAAAATATTTTAATTCGTTGTGTAAGGTGTGTGGACTTTGAAATACATAAAAACTAGAAATCTGTTACTTGTTTGCTTTAAACACATATATTTCATTAATATGACATTAAGTCATTAAAAATGAAAAGCATTAAGTGGTACATTTCTCAGCCATGTTTACCAAAACTAACAGCTATGGTAGATTGAGACATTAACATATTAATTGAACATTTGCATGTGTTAAGTCCGTCTATTTCTTTCATTCCAGTTGGTGACAAAAACAAAAAAGATCTTTGTCGGAGGTCTGTCCAATTCCACAACAGTGGAGGATATAAAGAATTACTTTGGCAATTATGGAAAGGTAAGGAACAATCAGATTTGAATCTCAGGGTGCCAGGATGTGACACAGATTCTATCTCCTAATGTATGGGCTGTAATTTATGCCTGTAGAAATATGTTAAACATGGGAACTGTCTTCACATGGATTGACATGTTAAGTAGCCCTGTGACGGGTATCTTCCTTCACAGGTAGTGTTTATCTCTCAGATTACCATAGACTATTAGGGGAATGCTCTCTGGATACAAAACTATTATCATAATTACAATTTGTTGGAAATTAGTCACAAAAGTTTCGCCCTGTATTATGACATTTCTGTCTGTGGACTGATGTTGTATTTATAGAAGTAATTGAGGAAAATTGAAGAAACATTTTATGACGTAAAATAAATCAAACAAAAGTTATATAATCATAAGTGATGGGGTCAGTAGTGTTACAGGAAACATTTAGGGTTCCATAAACTCCCCCCCCTCCCCCCACCACCCCCCAAACACATAGACACACACTGTCCATGAAAAATACATTGAAGTATCAAGTTGATTCACTATTTAAGATTCATAAAATTTATTTGAAGTGTTAAAACAGTCTGTTACTCTGCAATCTCATAACATCCTTTTTAGCATGTTCAATGGGAGTGATAGTTTTACATGACTGTTGTAAAGAAATACCATTTATCCTGGTTGTTAATGCTGTACTACTGTTCTCCTGGAAATGGAGAAGATTTGCTGGCTGAATTGCTCCCTTATGGACTGGCTTGGAATAGGATTGTATTCAATAGGTAATCTGTTCTTTATAATGGTAATGCACTGCAAGATTTATGCTCAATGGCAAGTAATAGTGTGCATTCAGTACTCTCACTTGCAAGGAATGCCAGTATTTGCTTAACCCCTGCAAACAACAGCCTGCTAGGCAGGCAAGCTGAGAGCAGAACTCGCTGCTTGAAATATGGCCAATACATAATCTATGTCTACCATGTGTACCATCTGAGTCATCCGGGCCAAGTGGGTACCAGATTTGCCTTTTTGGGGCCAAGCTGGGACAAAATAAGATGGGAATAGCAAGGGGTTTTAATAGGGCCTGACATTTCCTCTTTCAGTTCATGGTGTTTTTTCTCTCACTTTACTTGTTAATATTAAGGTTATATATTGTATTTATCAAGTATAGAGACCAGTATGTGGGATGCCAGGTTTTTTTGATAGGATATAAAATATGATTTGACATATACGCCCTATGAAAATACATTATTAACAAATACTATCGATATCAATCTTGCGCTGAGGAGACTAGCTGAATTCCCATGGCTAATTTCAGGCCTGCTTTTGATATGGAGATTCTGGAAAGTTTAATGCACAAGCCTCTTCATGCCTGTCTAAACACTCTGGCAAGCTCTTATGACCCAGCATTTCCATGAAACCCTAGGAGAGTCGCTTTCAAAAGATTTTTATACACATTTAATTGTGGGGAAGCCACTTGAAATGCATACTTTAGTCCAAAGTATACCTTTGGAAATGGAAAGCTAATCATTGCTATAAATGATCCATGACTATGTGTTTAAAACATGAATGTAGATAAGTAGTGACCTTTATATTTCGGCCGCTTTGTCTTTTGGTCCTGAGCACTTATTGGATATGCTTTTGATTGAACAAGTTAATGAAGTTTGGTTCTTAATTGAAAGTCTGTCGATAAACCTGACAGGCTGAATGCTCTTGTGAAATTTAGCAGAAACAAAGTTAAATTCCACAGGCAACACTTCATGTTTTTCCAGTGTTTTTCCCCATTAGCAGTCTTCACATGTCAGGCCGTTGTCTTGGACAATAGACTGCTTGCTGAGAGCTGCCGATTGCTTGATAATATGAAAGACTTGCATTAAGCACAGGGAGAATAAACACCTAAGGGACTTTCCATGTTGATTGGTTGGAACAGTAGAGTGAAAATTGCTTTTTGAAACATTTGAAAAAATGCAAATTGTTGATTTATTGTGTTTTTTCATAAATTCTTAAAGAGGGTTTGTATTTCTTGTTAACAAATTCCATTTGGTAATGGGGGTTCTGTTAAATTTGGATGTTAAATTTTATCTGCATTAACATTTTCATTTTGCTTGAAAAGTAGAGCAAGGTTGTTCTGAGTGAATGAAGTTCAGTATTGCTCCACTTGAGTGAGTGAGGGAGGCCCTTTTGGTAAGCAACTGTCATCACTCATAATTAAAGAGAAGATGGTTGTAAGAAGAGCTTTCAGTTTGTAGCCCTTGCCAATTGTCCATGAAAAAGGGCTTAAATGCCAGTGCCAAAGATAATGTGGTGTAGCCTGACAGTGCTGTTAAGCAGATAGGCATCCACCATGAACACTTACAAGCCTGTTAGACATAGGACATTGGAATGCTTGCAGGCAGATTAAGTAGTCTGCTTGATAGTAATATTTGGCAATCTTGGCCAAGGTTCCACTACTTCCAAAATGTGTACATCATATGTTCCTTCTTCCACCATAATTCCGACCTAAAGTGGCTAAATGTCACAGGTTGAAGTCAAATTATACCAAAGCACGCCTGGCATTTTGTTTAGTGCTGATATCAGTGAGAGCCAAATTGACCAGTGATGTAGTTGAACTTACAGTGGGTTCACTAGTTATTGCTCTTAGATCCCAACTTATCATATGGAAGAAGTTGAATTTTCTTCTGTCAAGTCTTATTACTAGTCTGCCTTGATGCATTGAAGCAGTGGGTTATTTACAGGAATTGTAGTAGAAAATCCAAATTATGCTTATCTGTATTTTTAACCTGAGGTGGCCTGTGGTTGACTGCTGCCTGGGTGAGCTTTTTACCACTGGGAGGGAAAAGGAAGAGCTGGGTGTGACGTGGGGCAGCAGTAGTGTGAAACCATGGCCCAGGCAATTAATTATCTAGGAGATTTTTTTTCTCAATGAAGCAAGTTTTGAATGCATCAATAATGTTGAATTCTTTTTGTGATAACTGTGTGGAGAGCATGCACCAGGTGAATTTTTCGACCTGTGCTCTTTGGGTTACGGCTTGGGGTGTGAAGCTTATATTTCCATGAATGATGCACAAATCTTGGTGTAATGTTCTTTGAACACCAACAGTTTAGTGCTGTAAATTGATTTACCATGGAGAGCAATGGTACTTTACACTGCTTCAGTAAATGAGAACTGAAAGGGAAACATAATTCCACACCTAAGGGTGAGATCCAGTCGGAGAGACTGTTTAACACATCTTTTTATCAAAATCTGGGTGTAGTTCTCCTTTTATAAACAACCAAACCGCACATCAGGCTCCATTAGAGGTCAATACAACAAGCCGATTAACATCCATCCTGTCAAGATCTAGTGTGGTCAGAGATGAATTATTCATTGCCATTTACAGCTAGTATATTGCCGTGAATTGGGCCACATTTAGTGCAGGCAATGATCAGTAGTGTGCACTTTTGGAATTGCTATCATGGGAGAGGTTTGTATATACAGCAGTACACATCAAACCAGCTCCTTGATTTATGCTGCTTTCAAACTTCCTGCCAAACTTTTCAGCCATCTGTTTCACAGAATTAAAGGTTTGCTTTTTGGCAAAGGTTCAGCTCTATGGTTTGATGATGTAGATCTCACTCAGAAATCTGTTTCACTTTGAGAGAGAAAATGAGATCTTTTCTGAATCCAGAAAGTTGTACTTTAGGTATGCATGTCGGCATGACTCTTAGGCAAATAAGCTTATCTGGGTAGCGGCCCCACAATCCTTACAATCCAGGATGAAAGAATACCTGAATATTTTCTCTCTCCGATATCACACCTTGAGATTAGACCTTTTGTTGAAGTATTACAAGTCGTGATATTTGTTGGTAATTATCATCTGTGTTTTGTTGGTTTGGCATGGTGTTTAGCTGGGTGTTATTGATGGGGAAGGATCCAATAAAATATTACAGCCTTAAATTCAGTTCTTATCAAAGAAACAACATTTACACACGGCTGACCTTTATGAAACTTGATGTACTTAACATCCCAGAAGGCTTTCATTTTTTCCTTACTTAAGATATTTGGCAGTATCCTTAAATCAACTTTACCAAGATGGATGGACATTGAATGTGAATAGAATTGATTTTGTAGTTTGAATTTCCAGGCCTGTTATTGTAACCTGCTTAGATTGTTAGAAATACGAGGCTGAATTCTGGTACTGTACCCTAATTGAGCTATCCCAGTGCCATGTATGTCTTCACATGGCTTGATATTGGAAATCAATTCCAGCATATCACACTATGGTTTATGAGGATCTGAAGTGTGTGCCTTATCCTGATGTTGGTTGCCAAGTTGCAGTCGGGATTAAGGAACTCCGGGTCTAAGGCAGATTCCTGCCTCATTTCCAGCATAAAACCCAAACCCCACGCAAACCTCTTGGCTCTTTTCAGAAACTTAAAAATTTCGATTGGCTTTGGTGCACTCTGATTAACTGTCCTTTGGGTAAAATTCTTAGTAGAGTACCAGGCAATAAAGAAGTTGAAGGAGATCTTGACATTATATTTGTAAAGATCAAAAGACTGCATGGATTTATACTTCCTTTAATTTTGTCCCAGGGTCATATGTACAAAGATGAAATCAGTCTGTAAAAAACAGCACGTAAATATATCACTTGGTAACAGGCTGACTTTAGATAGTGTTAAATATCTACTGCAGATCAAAAGATTTCTCTTTAACTGTGTCTGTATTTAAGGTTTTTTTATGATGACCTTTGTGAGCAGTTACGGGAAGTTAGTAGTTGTTTATGATGAAAACTGCCCATCGCTCTGCAAATTCTCCTAGAAAAGTCTTTGCTACACTGAACATTGTGGTTATAAATAGTTCCCTTGGCTGTCATTAATTTCAGACCAAGCAGCATAATATAATTGCTGCTATTGAATGTTATGTTCTCAATATTTGTATATTTTACTGCACACACACTGCTCATTGACATGGGGAGTACAGTTCAGTTATTAGGGGCACCCATTATGGGTATTGATCACTGCTACGAATGAATGCCCAAATCTATCAGAGAGAGAAGTGTATTTTATGAGTGTCAAAGGCTGCAAACAATACAAAGATGTTGATTTTATTCGTGTAAACAAGGTGCAATTGAACAGCCAAGAAAACACAAAAATTATTGTAACGTCAGTCTTTTGAAACTCAATGGGCCATGCTCTTATTAAAACACTCTTTAAAAATATTTTTTAAAGACCACCACTGCCAATTCAATTTTAAACATCAGAAGGACAAAGATTTTATTAATAGAAAATGTCAGCTCCCAACCTGTAAATTCTCTCTCTGTTTTACAGCAGGGTGACATTTTCTGGCTAGATCTGACATTACTCAAAACTCTGCTTCCAGTCTGATGCAACATATGTTCTCTTGCAACGTAGTTCGGATATCACGCTGGCTACCAGGTTAACGCCCAGAATTAAATAACTGAAAGTGGCTCAGCTAAATGGAAAAACATTAAGATGTGTTGGGGGGTATCACATTTTGTTTTGTTTTTCTTATTTGTTAAATAAAAAGCACCAAACATATCAGTTTCTTTTCAAAGTAGTTGTTTTAAAGAACAAGCTGGTATTGGATCTTATTATGTTTTGTTTTTGCTCTCTTGAAAAGCTGGAATTCATAAACCGACAAGGATCATATTCAGTGTTAAGTGTGTTTTACAAGAATAATTGGAAAGAGATACGGTGTGGTGGAAGGGTTTTGGCTCTGTAAATGTCATGCTATTCATAGCACTTCTGAGCATGGATTGTCTTGTCCTGTTTTAACATGTCACCACTGTTTTAACCTGGTGTTCCGTTTCACTTGCAGGTGGATGAGTGCCAGCTGATGTTTGACAAGAACACACAGAGACATAGAGGTAAGTAACATCCTCAGATATTATTTATAGGACATGTGTTGAATTTGATGCAAGTTGCCAGAAATCCTCTTAATTATGATATAAATAGCTATGGGAAGAATACAGTTTTGTAGTTTGTGTTGTGTTGAAGTTTAATGGTGGAAATAATCATCTTTCTTAGGTTGTGGGAAAGGGGGGCTGTTGGTAGACTGGATGGCTTGCTAAATCGAAATCCATAAGATGCCAGCAATGTTTTGCTATGCTGTCTGCTTGGTCTCAGTAGTCAGTTGTATTTTGACTACTGTTTATATAACGAGCAAGTTTTGTTATGCAAGATGACTTGGAGGGTGTGTAGGAATGCCAAAACAAGGCACTGGCTGACTCTTTTACCAGTTGTTCAGCTGGGATTTTTAGGATTTTAATTGAATTGGCATTGTCAAGCAAACCAGAAAAACACAGGTTGCCCTGGGCCAGGAGTTGAATAACACCATTCTTGCTTTTCCACTCACTCTCCAATAGAGAGCTTTTCACAGCATGCCCACCACACTGATAAGTCACAGATTTGTGGAGAGCTAGCTCCGAAACCAGTACTATACAGATAGAAAAGTAGAAATACTCCTACACAAGAGAAGCTTGGTTGGATAATAGAAATTCTAATGGAAATGTATAAATTCACAGCTGAGGAATTTATTGTCAGTAATGTTCACCAAGGGAAATCAAAGATATTAATGTCACATAGACGGCTAATTGAGAAATGCCCCTGACTATTATCACTTCTGGGGAAGGCTGTTGGTGCTGAGAAATGTCCCAGCCATTATCTCAGCAAGAGGGTTGTGGTGCTCTTACCATTTAATGGGGCTGTTAGTGAGGATTATAAATGAAATGCTTTTGATTAATATCTATTAAGTGTAGGAACCAATTATACCACTGTTAATATTTTTTTCTTTTTTTTATGTCTGCTTTGTTAATATGAAGTTATTTGAAAATGGTTCCCCCCCTGTTGTTGCATGTGTACTTAAAATAAAGTCTTTTATTTAGTGTGACTCTCACATAAACTTAGAAACTTTAATGAGATTTGTTTGCTTTGGTCTCCAGATCAACCAGGCTAGCTTAAAAGAACTTATTTCTCCCTAGGTAACTTAAAGTCTAATCTGTTGCATTGGAAAGTCATCAATCATAGAGAGAGCCTCAGCAAGGAGGTACCTTTGTTATTTCCAGAAAACAATCCCAGGTTGCTGACCTTTTGGAAACCAAATCTGATATCAAATTAATAGCATTAATTCCAAGGGCTTGCTGAGGCACTGGGGCAGAATAGAAGATTCTCAAAGGAAAAACTGTATTAATTAGACTATAATATCACATGATTATTTTCCCTTGAAGCTCTTCTAATCAGTGAACGCATCAATCACAAACTGAATAAAATTCTATTCCTATTTACCCTCTCATCATCAGGGATGACCACCCTATGAATATCAAATAGATAAGAACAAAAACTATTTTGAAAAAAAAAAGCTCTGAGACTGAACTCTCTTAGGCAGCAGTTCATCCAACTATTGACTGTATTCAAATTTTCCCCATCGGTGTCTATTTACTGACCACAGTTCTAAAGTCTCAATATTATTATCCTATTTCATTTGCTCACCAAGAAGGGATGGGTCTGGTGTTGATAGCAATGTAACCAGGTAGCAGAGTGAGAGGTAGTCACAGTCCACCTGCTTACTGTCAGCTAGCTGAATTAATTGTGCATTGTTTCACATTAATCTTGGAATGTGTTAACTCTTCCCTTCACCAATCTTTTTAAAGAGCATGCTGCGTACGGCTTTGCCTTGGCTAAGTCATGAGAAATGTCATCGGCATACCCTTGCAGGACCTTAACTATATTATAGCCCCATTCACACGTACATGGTTAATCGAGATTTAGGGAATCGCGATTCTAACGCGCTTAGCTAAATTCACTTTTTTGCGTTCACACATGTAAAAACGAAATCGCGATTTACCTTGCTAGATCTGGTAATTGCAACTGTGCTCGCTAGGGGAGTCACGGTATATCCTGTTGATCATGCGCAGTAGCTGCTTTCAAGACCATGCTTTCGGTGTGTACGGTGTTATTTTCTGTTTAATATTCTCATCGGCCCAAATATTTGTTTATGCTGCCACTGAGTTTTCAGACCATACTTCCTCTTGGCCATTTTGCTGACTGCGAAGAAACTTGAAATTGCGTGGACAGTTTGTTTTCTTTCACTTTCCAGTCGGCGAATAGCTGTATTTAGCTAATGTTTCGTTTCAATTTATACCCGACATGAAATAAAATTTATTGTATTGTATTGTATTGTACTTTCGATAGAAACTATGCACGCGCCTTAAGTCCTCAACTTCCGGTGTTAACATCGATCCCGTTCTCACTAGAAATTTTATATCGCGATTTAAGTTTACATCGATAGAATCCACCTCTCGAGTAGGATTAATTTGAATCGCGATTTGGCGTCTCTACTGCGTTCACACTAGAAGCTTTACATCGATAGAATCGCGATTTGGCACTAATCGCGATTGAAAGTGTCTCGTGTGAATGGGGTTTATATGATAACTCCTTTAAAGGTCTTGTATATTCCTTCAATGGCAGGTTGACAAGGTCAGTTGAATTGACCTGTTTAACCTGGTATTCTAACGTAGCTTATTGTCCAGATTAATGATTCATAAGGTTCGTCTTTGATAGTCATTGATAGACTTTCAGCTGAGTAGCAGTATAAAAGGGGTCTTTGGGGGTTTTAATGTAGAGCTATTCTGATTAAAATCCGCATTTTTTTCCCTCCCTTCTGTGAACACAGGGGTCTCTGACTGGGACAAAGGTGTTCTCTCTCTCTCCCGTCTACAACTTCCTCTGTAATTGGATCTTTTTGAATGAACATCTGCCTGTGCTTTGACTGCAGGCCATAACATAAAACTGCTCAATTAAATTAGGCAGTCTGTTTTGAGAAATTTGGTGGATGATTCAGCTTAGTAAGAAAAAAATATCCACGTCAAAGCAGTAATTTTTGAATGAGGCATTTGTGCTGATGTAAGAGCCCACCAATATTTAATTTCATCTTTCTTCATGCTTCTATTGTAGTCATAAAGAAAAAAGACTTAATCAAACCATTGCCGTATTTTAAAAATATCTGTGATGCAGCTTGTGAACTACACAGAGCCTGCTTATGCATGGAAGTGCAGTATTCCTGCCCAGTTTCTGGTGCTTTATCCTTTATATAATCCAAGTTCATGTCTGAAGGGGTCTCTGTAGGAATTGCAGCATTGGAAATGAGATAATTAAATTGGTTGTATGAATAAATGTGTAGCTTTTGTTCTGTTGATGCAGCTTCAATTATTGCAAATCATTGATCAAATGTCCTATGAGAAGGACAGTCGAAAATTAACTTTGCAATTTTCTGGCAGTTTTGAAGGTGAACTGTAAAAAATCTATGAATTATCATGTTAGGAATCAGTCTCACATTTCAGACAATTCCCATCTCTAGGGTCATTATGGAAGGTGGTATTTTAGGATTGCTCTGCAGATTCTGAATATCACATGGATTTAGTATAGGCTCCCAGGGTAGGTCATTTGAATAGCCTGTCACAAATTAAAGCTAACTGGATCAGCTTGAGGAGGATGAAGTAGCAAACCCACAGACAATGAGCAAAAGTGATGAAAAATGTGTTGGTGGATGAGATGGAAATGAGAAAGTGGTTCTTAATTCAATCAAACAGCAGGCCCCTTCACTAGTAGCCCCAATTGAGAACTAAATGGACTCTGGGTCATTAGTTTCATTGATCAATGAAGGCTGATGCAGTGATTTGCCAAATTCTTCAGTGCAAATTAAGGAAACAAATGGCAACCCTTGCAATAGAATCGTTGCAATGGCTGATCAATCAGAAATGATTGAAGACCCAGTTGAGAACAATTGAGTGATGGTGAAAAACAGGTAGATCTCTCTTACATTTCAAACTGTACTGTAGACAGAAAGTCCTTTTTGCACTGTAGTGTAGACAGAAAGTTCCCTTTGAACTGTACTGAAGAGAGATGAACTGCACTGAAGACAGAAAGTCCTTTTTGAACTGTGCTGAAGACAGAAAGTTGTCAACTAATTCTGCCAGAAAGTTCAGATTCAGTCTATCGTCCTAGAGCACATAATATAAATAACAGTTCAGCCAAGGGAATCCATCATCAGATATATGACACTTTACACCAAAAAAGATGTGTTCTCTGATACATAATAACATTTTAATGAGAAAGATTTGTATTTTGATAAATAACATTTCCTAACAACAGACAGAAAAAAATGGTAGTTGTGAAATGCAGACTTAAAAACGTAGTTTGTTAAAGAAGACTTTTTAGGTGGTAGAATTTTTAATAAAGCAGACTGACATATTAAAGTAGCAAAAAGTGGTTTACTTCTGTCTGACAGAAGTAATATATAAAGCAAAGAAAATATTCATTTGGCATTATTACTATTGATCCTAAACTAACTACTTGACTCCTGAAATGTTTAGAAGTCGTGAAAAGTAAACCATTGGAAAAGGCTTGTTTTGGATTCTGTGATTCTGCACAGAAAAGATGTCATTGAAGGCAGGAATTTGGTTGTGTATAAGGTACACAGCGTGTTCAAATACCCGTGGCCAAGGGGACAAAGAACCAGTTATTTCCCATGTTACATACTAGGTCAGAAGCTTTAACAAAACATGAGTATAATTTGACTCAGTTTTATGTACCAAGGGCATTTTCTGAATAAATAGACTTGGACAATCTATGTGTATGTAGCCAGAATTTCGATTGAAATATGAAGCGTGTGAAATGTAAAGGTCATTTCATAGTTGTGTGCTGTTTTCATTGAAATCTTGTTTTCTCTTTATTCTGACTACTTTAAATTTGCAATTTAAGGATAAAATGTATTATGTTTCACTAACCCAGGGTCTCAGCTTATAGGAGCCATTCACTTTCTTATGCCTTTTGAAACTGACACACAATGCTGGCGTGACTTTCGCTTTGAACTTTATACAAAAACCAACTTCAAAAATTTAACTAGATTCTATTCATAGCATTCTCTTTTATTTGAAAGTCAAAATAGGAGGAAAAGCTGATTGCATACATTAAATTTCATGCTGCCAAAAAAAACATTTGGCTTATGAGCAGCCATTGTGGGTGGGTCCAGCATGGCGCAGCTCTACCATTGTTGTATGGTGCCATATAGTGTTGTGTTTGAAAAGTGGTTCACCGTTATCTAACACAGAATTGTGGTAGCCAAACAATGGAGAAGAATATTGCCTAATATTCCTTCATGTTTTGGCAGGGGGCTCTATATTAAAGCCTGGGATTAGCACGCACACCACGAGTGAACTAACTGCACAGTTTGCTGTGGTCCTCCTGTGGTGGAAATATAATTTGATAAATAATGGTAGTTTTAATCTCCTGTTCCCAATAATGATGTGCTAACTCCCCTTTGTGCGGTAGGAAATTAAACGTGACTGAAGTAACATAGCTTGCCTTATATAAATGCCATGAGGAAGGGACAGTTATAAAGGCATATGTATAAATAGAGATAGATAGATAAATTGGCCAGTATTAAGGTGTGTGTTATCTTGGCCAGCTGAGATAGCCAGTGGGTATTTGATATAGACTTATGACATAAGCACCTAACCAGGTTGCTATTTGCTGAGGACATTGGTGTTTAACATGTTGTTCATGAGAGGAAGTACCTTACAATGGTATTGATCCCCAACATTTGTCCAAATAATGGTATTCAAAATAACCCAGCAGAGAATCTATACAAAAATTAATGACAGGACTGTGACAGTATGTATTTTTGTGCTGATTTACTCCATTCTACTTCGTGGACAGTTTATATGAGTAGGAGTTACTGATACTGAGTGCAGAACTGAAGAAAATGAATCACATTAATTATGTTAATGGTTAATTGAGCGTGGTAAAGGCAACTTCTTATTTATAGATAAGATATTCCTATCAACCACTGGGGGTTTAAATAGCACCCTGGTTTGTGGGTTACCAATCCATGTCCATTGTTTTTCTCTAACAGGTCTTGATGAATTAAAGGAAAATTGCACGGTATTGATTGGTTTTCCCTTTGGCAATAAAGGTGTTTCTCCCTCCTTTACTAGTAGTACTTATCCAGGCTTGTACACTCTGCCTACTCAAGAAGCCTATCCATCTGTCAGTCAGCATTTCTCTTTTTATATTAGGAGAAACAATATTGTGTTGCTTGAGAAAGCGTAAATCGACAAGGGCATTCCAAATGATATGACAGAAACTGTCAAATGAAACTTTGTTTGAATAGATAGCAGCGTGGATATGGTTCTGAATTGGTATGAATTAAGTATCATATCAAAGATGTACGACAGTTATTAGATTTGATATACATGACTTGTTGGTGAGATATAGGTTCTAAATTACATGGACATGGGACTGTCATAAAACCATTTGTTTGATTTCTCTTCAGATACGATGTATGGGTATTATTCAGTAGATGTGCTTTGTTATTAAAGCAGCATTTTTCAATGTCCTGCATGTTTAAATTGCCATATGGGTGCTCATTAAGAATGGTACTGAATGAAGTAGGTGGTTATTAAATACGACTCCAATTAAGCTACCTAATGGGATTAGAGTTGTCATATTGCAAGCGGTTTGCAGAATCCAATCCTGACTTTTTTTTTGGTTTAGAAACGATGGAAATTGATGTAGATGATCGGTATTATTCCCATCTAATATCTGCTTAATTCCATCTCTGTGTAGAGTGAGGCGATGTCCACATAAATCTTGTCTCTAGATGGCACTGACTGATAGGTGAGAAAGGAGCAATAAATCATGGCCTGTCCCACTGATACTATGAGATTATGTGCTTGATTACTTTTCCATCAAAAATTTAATTTTCTAGTGTCATTAACAGGTAAAAGTTGAAAGTTATATTAACTTTGGCTGTCGGATGACTTTCAGCCTCCATTTTCTGTCCTGGTCTAGGTGGAAGTATTTACACATATTTCCACTTGCTTTTGTCCCAGGCCTTGTGCACTACTGTAGCTGAGCATGAACCCAAGTTAATAGAGGGGTTGCGTGTTGTGTATCCTGTTACTGGTGTTTTTATCTCTACAGTAGTAGTGGATGACAGAAGTATAGGGGACAACAATATAATTACAGGCCCACACTATTACTGAAGCTACCCAGTCATTTTGTGATGGGAAAGAGATTACAAGTAGGCTAGATTACATCTTCATAAGAGTCACATTTTATCTGGAATGTGGTCTTCTGTATGTGGAAGCTCCTCTGTTTTAAGGGAGGGGGGATACGCCAAGCGTGACAATGCAGTGTGTGGGGGTGGGGAAAAGGATAAAAATTTTCATGTTAAAAAATTGCAGTGTGTGGGGGTGGGGAAAAGGATAAAAATTTTCATGTTAAAAAATTCTTAGATAACATGCTCCATCTTCGCTGTTAATGCCCTTTTTTGTTGGGAATTTGGCATTAAAAATGGAAATGAACACTCTCAAAGTGTCTGGTAGAAGTTATTACATGAGATTTAACAGCTTCAATCTGCCTTGAAAATTTGTGCATGATGCAGAAGTAGATGAAAGGAAATCGAAACCTTGAGGCCATCAAGTGACATTATTAGTACATCATTGCGCGTCTGCTGACCATTGCAGTCTGTTTGTTTCTAGTTACTGAAACATATGCAGCCATGTTTAGGGAGAGGGGGAACCATATGGCTTGAATATACTGCTCTGTGGTACTTTATCTGGAGAGAAATTACTTTGATTTGCCAACCAGATGTCAGGTGTCATATTCACTTATAGTTTTGCCATAATACATCCAATTTAAACAAAAATAAATCTCCCTTCTAGAAACCAAAATGAAATTTACTTTTAACATGTCCATCTTGCAATGCAGTGCAGTGTGCATGCATTTAAGAGTTGATGGGGTCAGCAGTATCTGGGATTTTTTCCGTCAGGGCTGGTCTGAAATGCTGTATTTGTTTTTCCAAAGCCATAAACAATTGCTGTACCTATGGCAACAGTCTCTCAAGCAGTCTGGTTGGCATTAGTTGGTGCTGGAATTTAGGTTTAAAGTGCATTTTTTGTATGTTCGTTGCCATTTGAAATTGAGCAGGCCATCTACTATTTTAACACAGGTCATTTGCTTCAAGTAAATAACATAAAGTTTTCCATCTGCAGGTGATCTCCTGCTTAATATTCTTGTCGTTGAAGCTGTAATTTTCAGTAAACTGCATGGAAATTGGAAAATCATTATTTCTATTCCATGATGCAATAGAGGTCATTAAGGGCAGCATATATCATGCGTCAATTATACAAGTATTTTGAACCGCAAGCACGCAATCTGACAGCTTTTATGTAGTAAGATCTCCCATTCCTTGACAGCACATTTGTCTGCCTGTTGATCTTTGTGAAAGAAAGCCATGCCATGCATTGTTTTAACTGGTAGATAACAATTATAGTACTTTTTCTTCTCATCTTAAATTTCTTAATTCATGTTGGTTACTAACAGCTGTGGTATGTGGTTTCCAAATAAAACTATAGTGATTTCAAAACAATATTTTGACAAGGTAATAGTTTGATCAACATCTTTTTCCATTATTTTTAGCTCTTTCATATCTTTTTTTTTATTGCATGGAATTTATTACAATAATAATTTGTTTTATATGGTTGGTATATTTAAATGTTTTTTTCCCCTTTTTCAGGTTTTGCATTTGTTACGTTTGAGATGGAAGATGTTGTGGACAAGATCTGTGAAATTCACTTCCACGAAATAAATAACAAAATGGTACGTATGTAATTCCTGCCCACAAAACTTAGAAATGCAGGTAGGTGAAATAATGAGAATGTTACTTTTATTTTTCATTGAACCATTGTGTACTGTAATTCCTCCTCACTTTATAAGAACTCCCCATTAATCAAAGGCTTGTTAGAGAGGAACATGCCACGTGGGCACACTGCATGAAGAGCAGGGAAATATATTGGAATTTAGATAATAGATTAAGATGGCTCTGTCAAATCTTTTTGGCATAGCATGCTGCATGTGATTGTCCATGGGAATCGAGTTGACCATCTTACTGACCCTGAGAGCCGTCTGTGAATTCAACTCTTCCCCCCTGTCTGAGATTGGTAATTAACAGAGACATCAGAGTGAAATGTAAATCAAGAGAAAATAAGGTACTTTGCTAACAAGCAGTGCAGTGCCCTTTTAGATGGGCTGGAATTGGGGAAGTGGGAATATTTACTCTGTAGGTAGCAAGTAATGTAAGCATTAAGATGTGTCTTGACGTGTGCTGCCATGTTTGGTAAAGTCTTGTGAAAAGTTCAGGTAGACACCAGCTGTGCATTGCGCTGGCTTGCACTCATCATGCTGACTTGCTGCTAATGAAGTGAGATTGACTTTAATTTTCCCAAAATAAGTAATCCTCATTAGGTTCATGCATCCATAAAATAATATTGGTTTTGACATTGGCCATTAGAAATGAGCTGAATATGAAATTATAATCTCCTCCACCCTGGCTGAAGCATGCTAGGGGTCTGGGTTTGATGGGAGGGAAATTGGTGTAATACGCAAGGTTCTTAAATTCTTGACATTAATTGTGTTTGTATTTAACCTAAAGCACCAAACTATTGTAAAAGAATAAATAGAGCCATAACTGTCAGGTTCATAATTTATGAGCTTTCATTGCATGAAGTTGTTGGCCTAGATGTATTGTTCCATTGTGACTCAGTGGGTATTCTTAAAGTTTATTTACAGCTTGTAAGAAGTACATAAATAGTTTTATTAAGGTAACTAGATGTACAGTTGAGTACAGTTTGCCATTATTTGAATTGAGGAGCATGTGAAATTTTTCCTCTAGTTCACAGAAGTTATTTGAATAGAAAAGACACATGGTATTCTCATTGACTATTGTTTCTTGATTGAGAAGCGGACCCATGTCACTAACATCATTATCAGAATTTGATTGTGTTATTGCAGGCTCGCTTGATGCTGTTCATTCTCACGAATAAAAATCAATGGTTACTAACAATGTCAGACATTATTTGGCAAACCTTACCAAGTTCTCAATGAATTGGACCCTTACGTAAACTGTAATAAACTGGTTGTGAGATACACACAGCTTTATCCAGTTTGTCAGCATAATTAAAAGACTTTATGTTGCCAGTTACCAATATGTAGCCATAAGCTACTTAGTATTGATCATTGATTTAGGGAGAAAATTGTACGACTGTGAAGCATAATTGGTACATTTGAAAATAACTCTTTCCTAATTGACAGCTTTGCAGATCATTTTTGGCTTGTTTGTTGGCATGTTGGCAGAAGAAAGCTTAAAACTTCTTGAGAACATTCCCAACATGTGAACTGTTCCACATGGTTGAAGTTAGACCAGACAACTCCTTTGATAATAACAGCCTGTAAGGCAACATGCCATTATAATCGTCCTGTTTCTAACCAAGATAAAATATTCTAGACTCTGAACATCTTTATGTCCTGGTAAATGACAGAGAGGCAGTGAAAAATGATGAAAAGATAACTCTTCGGCTTATCAACTTATGCCACTGGAGACTAGCGTGCTGCCACCTATAGTGAAGTCACGGCTAATTGATAACCAGAAACATAAATATTTATCTCTGCAAAAGAGATCCTTAATCATATAAAATTTTTCAGCAGGGGTTGAGAGTAAACACTAAAAATACCCCACAAATGCCCAAGAATGTTGTTTATAAGCATGGAAGGTGTTTCAGACGGCCTACATGATTTTTGCATCATGGTGATATGTGGAAGATAGGTGTTCATCTTACCTTGCTTATTTTACAGTTTCCTGTTTGAGGTTTTGTGAATAAATTAAGTGAAAGATTGTTTACTTTTCAGGTGGAATGCAAGAAAGCACAGCCAAAAGAAGTGATGAACCCGACAAATCTGACCAGAGGTAGGGGTTTGGTTCATGGTGGTTACGGTAAGCGTAAGCTTACATAGACGTGCCTCCTTTCATTATTTCTTGCTTTGTTGTGTGGCCCATTGCACCAAATACCACACCTTCAAACTTTGCCCCATTTGTGTGTATTGACTGCAGGCCATTGCATCGGTATATATATATACATATATACAGTTGTATTTATTTACTGGCGGTGTGTGGTTGTTGCCACTTAACTTTCTTGTTTAATAAACTGTGGGCTTTTTCTTCTGCTTTGTTCCAGTTAATTGACTAAAACAGATGTGCTACTAAATGATTAGAAACATTGTGGCCCCTCACATGTATAGAAAAGTTCATTCTAACACTACAGGGGCAGTAGGACATATGTATTGTCTCTTATGTTTGAAGGTTTGATGTTTGCTGCAAGCAGAAGTAGCAGTTATAAATTTAACGTAAACCTAACAGACCCATGAGTTTAGCAGGTAGAAATTTAAAAGCGGGATTTGTTTTGTAATCTTAGAAAGCATCTGCAAGAATTCTACTCTGTACTGTAGTGTGTAGACTTTTTGTATTGGTTACGGAATATTGGTACTTTGAAAGAAGCAGTTATTGGAGCATAAGTCTCATTTTCACTCGACAAAGAATTGCCCTATTTCTTTCTTATTTCGAATTCTATTTCTTTCTTACCTCAACCAAAAGGAAAAAGAAAAAAAAAGATCAAGTTATTGAAAAATTTTCCTGAAAAACATAGAGCCAAGATTGCAGATGTTCCTCAAAAGGGCCTTATTCATGGTCATTTCTTTGCATTACAAGGCCTGAAGTATGTTTGAAGATTTTGTCCTGTTTCAGTTGTGAGTTGATTCATAATAACCAATTAAAAAAACCCTTGTTATTTTCCAGTCATTTTCGCTTTGAGTCATAAGTATATTCATGTTAGTAAAGTAGATGGAATTTTATTTCTAACATCATTGATTTGTGTTTAAAACAAAAAAAAAAAAAAATCCCCTCCCTACACCCCTGTCAGAGGCTGATGCAGTCACTAAGCAGATGTTAGCCTCTGTTTGGAATTGGAGCAGATGTCAGCCTCTATTTGAGCAGATGGAGAATGGATTCCTGTTGCATGGAGAATGTGGAGACTTGCAAGGATCAAAGTTATAAAAAAATGCCTTCAAACAAATTTCTTTCTTTTTATAGAAATTGCAATGCACCTGCAAAAAACGGGTCTTGAGCTCTTACCTATGAATCCATCCGAAGCACTTGCAAGTATGTAGTTTTCCACATCATTTTTGTTGGAAGTAATTATTTACTAGCTAGCTGGTGATAAAAGCATACCCATGTTGGCAAGAGCGTCCCACATAATACATCTAAAGGATTAATTTTATATCAAGTTTGTTTTGAAGTGATTAACTCTCATTTGGACTTCAAAAGCAGTATCAATTCCTTTTTCGAAATATATTTCTAAACGAGGATTCTATTCAAACTTTTTAACAACCCATCTCAATGTTAATATTACATCTTTTGCTTCATGAGAAAATGTGAAGAGTTATCACACGTATAATATTAAAAATGCAATAAAATGTATAACCTGTGTATATTGTTGGCCTGTGCCTTGCTTTGGTAACCTAGCACTGGAGAGGCATGCGGGGACACCTTGCCACAGGGTTGCTCACTGCAGTGATTTATACAAAGATAACATATTTCCCGAAGACTGTTATTTAATAATTCACCAGGTTAAGAGCAGCTGAAGGAAATATGACATCTTCATTGTTATTCTGATCAACATGCATGTACTGTCTTTTTCTACTGTGTATTTATATGCCTATATTTTTTGCTTGTCTGTCACTTTGCTGTTTATAACCACATATTGTTGATTAACCCAACAGATGTTTAATAGTATTGTTAAAATCCATATCAAACTCTCCTTGCTTTCACACATAATGCATGTGTTGTTATACCATCCATGTCAATTAAAAAGTAGTATTTTTGTATTGTGATATATACATATTCAGAGTCACAGTTAATAGTTTATTAACCTCTTTTTAAAAAGTTAATGGAATTTCTGTACCCTGATTTTCAAGGTTACTTCCCTGGGTTCCCTACCTACGCAGCAGCATATGGACGTGCTGGTCTCCCAGCCTATGGACCAGGCTATTTTCTTCCAACAGCAGGTAAGCGTTGTCATGGTGCCGAGCCTGGTACACCACACATGTAACCCACATGTCTCTGTGTGTATCAGGAAAACATTACAGTTCATTTTGTGGTACATGACAGGTATAAGCTCTTTGTTATCACAGTGACCAGCTAGAGGAACACTGAATAACTCACTTGGGGCAGCAAAGAAGTTAGCATATTATTTTTACGTACTTTCAAATCAGCTGATCAGATTTTTTTAAACCAGAAAACAGAAATTGAAACAAGCCACCTTCTTTTGAACCCTGGATAATATGTTGTGTGGGTAACTTTATTCCTTAGCTGATCTTTTGACCATAGGTGAACTGTGGGGCAGTCCAAAGTTTCTGGAAAATGTTAATCGTACATTTATGGAAGTTGGTCTGGGACATTTGGACCACCCTGTGCATCTGGGAACTGTTGATTTCAGAGTATTCTGGTCTCTAATGTACAGAGCTCAAGTTCAAATGATAAGAAAAACTGCCTCAGCATTAACTTACTGGATGAAAAATTTCTATTCTGCTCTATAGAGTATTTAGGTTATTAGAAGTGGCAGGTTTCCCTGAGCACTTCAGACTTTTTTTTTCAGTAGTGTGACTTGGTTTCTTAGCAACCAGTGGGAGCTACTTTATTATCACAAAATGAAACTTACAATGACTAAGTGGTGAAAATAAGCAATATCTGAAAAATAGGAAATGATTATTTTTATTATGGTTCTAAAGCAAGAGGTGTTTGAGTTGCTTTTCTTGTTGGCTTTAGTAATCTTACACGGTGAAATAAAAGCATGTGCCAGATTCGTAGATCAATTCTATTCTGATCATGCTTTCATTTCCTCTACCTACATATCAATATGGAAATTGCTTTGAATACCTACTACTACTACTGAACTATGCATAGCAGTTGATGGTGACCAGCATACACATTGTGTACATGCCTTAAAGTATATTAACTTGAGGATGGCCAGTACAATAAAGGCAGCATTCTATCTGCTGTAGGCATTGGTGCCGCATTTGGTGCAAGCCGTGGCAGAGGTCGCGGTCGAGGCGGATACATTGGTTATGGTGGAGCAACTGGTAAGACCTTTGCTCAAGCTGGGTCCAGTGTTGTAATTTTACTCCCTATCTAGCTTCCACAGTTATAGCTGTGTTTTTTTGAGTGGACTTTTTGATACTGTTATTATTATTGTGTAGGATATGGCCTACTGAAGATTGCTGCACCCGCACAACGCACACTTTTGGGTGACTTGCTGTGTCTCTTTATATATAACTAACAAAGTCTCACTCTGTACTCAGTGGTTGATGTTTATTATATGTTAGCCCGCCTTTCATATGTAAAAATGTTTTTAAAAAATCATATTTTTGTTCTACATCATTGATTAAAACAAATTCTTTTGTACAGTGCCATTTCTTTACCATCATCATTATCATTATTACTCCAAACTTACTTGTCTTCACTTGAAAGTGTTGTGTTGTGTGGAAGCTAGTTCGGAGCCTTGTGTGGATTCCCTCACTGCTATGCTTAGTTTGGTGTAGTGACCTCCTAGTCTACAGGTGCTTGATTAACAAACCAATATAACCAGTGCTCATGGACAGGGGGATTAGGGGACACTGCATGGACACAGTCTCATTGTTGGTTCAATTTTTAGTTAACTTTGTTTGAATGTATATCTGTTTGTTTGTTTGTCCATATGTTTGTTTAATTGTTTGTTTAAAAATCTTAATGTTGGAAATGGGTGCAGTTTCCTGAGTTGGATTACACAATGTTTAGTTAAACAATATACTTGTTACTTCTTATGAGGAATATTATCTTTATTTGGTAACCTTCCAAACTTTTCTCTTTTAAATTGATTGATTTATTAAATGTTCCTGTGGGCGTACTTGTATTCTATGGCTTCCCAGGGGGAGAAGACCACCAGGTCTTTGTGAGTACTAAATTGGGACTTCCACCTGCTTTAGTCAGTGTCCAAATTCTTTTAGTATTATAACAATAGACATATGAGCTGCTTACTTGAGTCCGTGTCCAAATTGTTTCATTTTTAGAAAAGAACCTGCTTTTGAATTAATGACGACGTTGTCATTGGTAGATGATCTGGAACCATTGTTTTACCATGTAGATGTTTGCATGATATATTGATGGTGTAAATGTATAACATTCAGCCCACTTTTAACCCTTAAATACTTGAGATAAAGCAACAAAAGGATTGAACTCTGCTTGTTAATAATGAGCACAAGGTTATTGACCAATGTTTCAAGTCTTAGTCATGGTTGCATGACTTGGTCTTCCTATTCTGCACCGCACACGTCTTTTACAAATTGGCTTGTAGAAATTAGTGCTTGATTTGGAGTAGATATTTACTTGCATGTGGTTTTTATTCTTTTAACCAAATTCTTCATCAGGTCTTTTTAAAAGTTTTGTTGGTGTGATATTTAATAACAGCCAGATTTTTCACTGAATTGTGAGGAATCCTAGGGTTGGGTTGGGTGGGTGAGTGGGGGAGAAAAACTCCTGGAAGTACCTTCAGTGTGCAGTGTGTGAATAAAGATCAAGTGATCTCCCAGGGAAGCCTTGAAATGTTGGCACTTAGGCGACATCTTATTTAAGAAAAAAGGTATTAATATTAAGCAAAAACGCCATGTTCTGAAAGGCCCATTTGACCTTGTTGTAAGGGGCCCTTACCAAGTTTGGAGTTTGGTGCTTTGTATTGCCATGGTGACCAGCATGCTGCCTTCCTTCCAGCTTCTCCTGGCTTCCCTGGTTACACATTTGTCCCAGCTCCTGTCAATGCAGCGACAGCAGCAACAGACAGGCAGGCTGCCGCGGCGGCTGCAGCCGCTGCTTACTATGCTGAATACAGTCCGAACCCAGGCAGTCACCAGTTGGCCGGCACTGCTGTACAGCGCAGTGAGCCCTCACCCATGCCAATAACTAGTTCTCCCATGCACAGGGATCATTTTACACAACAGCGCACTGCAGGTACTTACTATGGTGCCATGGGGCTCAAACAAACAGGTACACTGATCAAACTGCTCTCACATCAGGGGTGTAAATATATGTTTACATATATGACCAACATTTCAAATTCTGTGGCTATATATATATATATACATATGCCACTATAATATACATTACACCATACCATATACTACTAGTATTTTTGTTGCTTGGATTTGTTTGCAATTTGCTTGGAGTTGAAACTAATCTGGACGAGAATCTCACAGGCACCACTAACTAACAGTTGAGCATGTTTGGTTGTATCATGTACAGGTGATTAACTGAACTGTTAAATGTTCCCGGTGTGTTCAGAGCTGAAATTCATTGCTACTGCAAGCATACTAAATAGTAATAGTAATAACAACAACAACAAAGAAATTCACAGTCACAAAAATTGTTTTCGTGAACATGTTTTAAGTTTACATGAATCGTTTGTAACACATAATTCAACTGTCATGTATTTCTTTGGTTAGCAGCAATGCTGAACAACTTCCCACAGGGATATGGACCACCTACCTCACCTGCTAACAATCGCGGATTCCCTCCAGCCAACAGTCCCGGCCCTATCGACATGACCTACAACTCCAATGACAGTCTGAGTTACGTACCAGCAGCCAGCCCGCAGCCGACAGGATTCGCACCTAATCTTGCTGTAAGCAGAGTATGTACTAGAAGGCAGTGTTCTTTGGGTGATCTTTGAACATGTTTTCATGTACTTATAGTGCTTGGATGTTTTATGCTTGTGTTATTAGCTAGTTTTTTGTTATCAAGATTCCATGGCAAGCAAAGCAGTACTATAAGACCTTTTGGCTGAGTAGTTTGCTTGGTCCATAGGTCTGACTTGATTGGTCAAGATGTTTGTTACAATGGAAACTTGACAATTGAAACTTCTTTTTGATGTGCTTAAAATTGAAACCATTTGAAACATATTTATCCTGCCTTAAATGTAGATATTGAACCACTTTTATTAGTGTTGTGAGATACTAATCTTTTTGTATCATCATTTCTTATTATTATTTATGTTCTTTTAAGACAGTATTGGGAGCACTAACAGGGAAGTGGGGTTTCTTATGGTTTCAAATTTTTGCACCGTTAAGTAATAAGTCAATCCCAAGGTTTGAATATGTTTGCAATATTTATTTGGAAAAGATGGGAAATTGGGAGTTTTTGCATATATATAAATATCCAATTGCTTACTTGATTGTTTTGCACTAGAAAAATTGATTGTCAAACACTTTGCATAAGTACAAGTGAAGTATTGATTTTAATTCCCTTTTGATAAGGCCCTTTTCAAAAAACCCATGTTTTACTGCTCCATAATTTATGGCATTGAGAGATGACAGTACTTTTGTTTAATTAACTTGTGTCATGTAAAACAACACTCCATCCTCTCCCAGTTGAGCTTGAGGCCTCTCCTTCCATGGTCTAAATGCCATGGCTGCCATAATTGTATAATTATTGCCAAGCAAACTTGTTATATACACATGGGGAGTTATTAAACGATAAATTATGCATGTTGATAATATTCAATCAGTGTAAGGGGTATGTTGCATGTTGACGATGGTCTTAATCAAAGTAAGGTTTATTATTGGATATTGTAATGGTTGGGAAGTTTGTTGCAAGTGATCATCATTAACTGCAGTGATCCTCCATTAATCTGGGCTTTACTGATCAGTATTTTATATTCCGAGATAGCAGACCACACTGGACTCCGGGATCCTTTTGAAAAAGAACCTGTATTGATTTTGCTATTTTGGCCTCTTTTGAATTTCAAATGACTGACTACGTGAGTGGTCTGCTATCTGAAACTAAATTAATGAAGCACTGTTTTAAGCAGAAGTGTGACTCTAATCTCACCCTTTAAATGCAGAGATTGATGACTTATCAATAACTGGAAATTAGCCTCCGTGTCCCTGCATAATGTACCATTGGATTATTGAATAGCGCAAGTACAAAAAGAAGCTGCCTTGCCTTTTAATTTCCTATCAAAGTGCTTTTACTTGCCATAAAAACAGCATGGTAGTCTACCTGGAATCTGTGAAAGAAGGTCTTATTCTGGTCATAGACTTTAGACTGGTAATTGATGAGTTGTGATAGAGTCACCTTTGGGAAGACTTTTTGACATGTTTTTAATGAAAAATGAAAAAAATCATCCTTTATTGTTAATAGACCTTGCTTTTAATTTACTTTCCACATCAAAAAAAGTTCATTTGAAAATACTCTATTAATAAATACTACCGTGAGTTCAGACTTGTCACATAAAAGAAACCACTGACACATCAATCTTTCATTGAAGGGAGAGATTTTGACTCCTACTTCTGCAGTGTGACACACACTCACACATACTATATGATGGTTCTTTGCTGAGCTTTAAATGATGACTGTGAATGTTTAATGCACTCTGCCCCTCTGCTTCCTGCAGGGTCCCCTGATTGCTGCCGCTTTCAATGGCTACCATTGAGCTGGTTCGCATCACAAAACAAAGGTATTCACATGTTTCTTTTCAATTCAATTTTAATACAGTTGCCTTGTAGAAGTAATTCATACCTGGTAGAGTTGAGGATGTATGCACAGGTCACTTCAGGTGCCCGACTCCTTTCTCTTGGAAGACTTAAGTATATTTGCACAGTATAGTGATGTGGCTTAAAATAACCATATGGCACTCCTCATATGTTTAAAACCAACATTGAATTATTCTAGAATAATCTGATTTGGTGTACAATCCCATAAGAGGATATTCTGGAGATGTTTTGTGTTCCTCAAATTGATTGGGGTCGAGAGATGTAAAAAAAAATGATTTGGCTGCGTTCAATCACTTTGCGTGTTTGTATAGCCCTATATTTATATATTTAGATGTCCTGGCTTGTGTATACATCCTTAACTTGTATTGTAAAATTGTGTTCTTTTATGCATCCTCTAGATTTTGTTGATTTCTTGTCCCAAACTATTCACTGCGCTACGCTGATCAACTCAATGAGGCATTCATCTTGCTTTGCATGCCTAATGAAATATTAGTATTGATTTTAATCCTAGGTATCTTTGCATTGGTGCAGGGATTGATGGTATTTTCTTCTTGTAGTCTATCTTTATCTGGGTTTGATTGATATCTATCCCTTTCCTTATCAGTTTATAGTTTAAGAAAGAAAAGCTTCATTACCAAGCATGCAGGACACATACTGTAGATGTGTTTTTGAAATAGTATTGATCTCGCTCATGATTGCTAGATTAAAATTCAAAGAATCTAATAAATCTGTTGCAAGGCTCGGCATTAACTTTTAAATTGCATTATCCATTATGCCTCTCAGACACTGTTAGTGATCTGATCCTAAGATTGTTGCTTACCAAGTGTGAAAGCTTGTTTCTTTTATGTAAGTAACTCTAATTTTAGCCAGTTTGTCTGTGGTAAATGGACAATGTTTTATGTCGAGCTTTGTACAACTTGTACTGTAATAATCTTTTTTTTTTAAAGAATGATATCCACATAAAAATTGCTTGTTAATCAATTGCTTGTCCTGTTGCAGGGGTTTGGCAGTTCCAGCCATGGGGGATACCCTCGGAATTTCTAATCTCGCAATCTCGTATCTACAAGTCTACAGATGAGAAGAGTGTATTTTACAGGGATTTTACAAGGACTTTTTAAAACCAATGGGAATATGGGTCTTTTGTTGCATTTTATGGGAGAGGAAATGAAGATTTTATTGTAATATAGACAATTCAGTGCATGTTGTGTATGTTGATGTATACACATGTTCTGTGGAACTACTAAGTTTTAACTACTTGTAATGTATGAAATTGTAATTATATATAATGAACTGTTGTAGCTTCTAGTGAGTAGATACTTTGTAGCATTTGACTAATATTTTGGTGTGTAGTGTGTTAGATAACATAATCAAAGAACAATTTCATATCAGAAAGTTTTTAAGTTCCAATCAACATCAAAATATATATAGTTCATTATAATTATTATTATTATTATGATTCTAAGTGATATAATTTTATGTAGATATATAGTCTTTTTCTTCATTTCCCCTTTTACAATTGGTCTTGGTTGCTCTATTTTTATATCAGTTGTCTTAGCAAAAGACTTACCTTTTGGCATGTCTCAATTCGAATATTTTTGGCAAAGTATTTTGAATTTTGGACACTTTTATTATGTAGTAAATTTAGAAGATTTAGATTTAGGAGAATGTAAAATGCATCCTGTTACCGGCACATAGTAATTAGAGAGAGAGCGCGAGAGAGAGTGAAACACAAGTTTTCCTTGTCATTTTTGACAACAGTTAACTTATTGATTCAAATGCAAGCAATATATTGTATGAAATGTAAATTATTAAAAACCTGTAAACTCCATTTATATGTATTTTATGTGATTGAAGTATATGCTACTTAATTATTTGAAGTGGTCCACCTGCTGTATGTATGATATGAGTAGGAGTCAGGCAGGTGGAAAACATGCTATTTTTGCTGGCTTGAACTGATATTTATAAAATAGAGTGGACTTTTAAAACAGAAGGGCATACATACAGTGAAGGGTGCAAGACATCAACTTTGTAGTCAGTTTAAAAAAAGAAATGGTGCTGCACTTTTAATATGGTAACTGTCTCATTCTCGTTTTTTCATTCAAAGTTAACTGAACTTTATGATAACCATTGTTGAGATTGGTTGACTTTGTCACATGTTGATTCCAGTATTTTGTGAAGTTATGTACTGTAGCTTGTCTGTTTATGAATGGTGCTGATGTCACCCCGTCCACCATCCTGGGGCCTAGCACGCCAGAATCGTGTGAAAAGCAATAATAATTCTTGGGAATGTAGCATCTTCATTGTAGTATGCCCACATAGTTGAAATGCTGTACAGATAAAGTGAGCTTTTAGGCAAAGTTCCATATCTATGCCTCTTTCAGATACTTTTTAGTCAGACCATAAATTGTGCCGACCGGAGCAGCTTTTAGTATAGCAAAATTATAATAGTCGCTGATCACTCCATTTTTACTGAAAACCCAATTAAGGGCACACATAAACATGTAGTTGCCCATTTTACATGCCATTTGTTTTTTTAGATGAAGTTCTACAGCATTTGAGCAGAAATATCACTTAGCATTTACCTCCTAAACTGTGACACAAAGGTCAGCATGTAAATTTATTTCATCAAAAATCATTTTTACAACCAAGTCCATGGGGGCTGTGTTATTTTTTAAGTTCTATTTTACTTCTTCCATGTACATGTTTCTCATGTACACATTGTACAGAATTCTTAGTCTAGTGTGTAAGCTTGCAGTCAATATTGGTCTAGTTGGCAAGGGTTATAGGGCAACGCTATATAGAGCAGTGCAGGTGCACATGTAGTAGTCTGTGTAGTGAAGCAGAATAGAATAGGAGCACTTGTATATTGTTATATTGTATGCTGTTGAAAAGTGAATTGTATCAAGGCCACAAATTAGTTTCACAGGCTTCTGGAAGTCTGGTGCAACGTCCCTCTTTGATAAACATATGAGAACCACTATCATCACCACCTGAAATTGCCTGTTGCTGTTTCAAATTGGATTGTTATTCAAGATGTACAATAGACAATCAATGTTAATTTATTGTCACCAAATATAAGGTTTTATTGATTTGAAAAAGTTAAATTTATGATCTCCAAATTTCATTTACTAGATAGTAAAGGCAGTAGCTAGATGATAGGCAAAAAGGTGGGTGGAAACCTTGAGACCATGTGATCAACATGAGGTCAAGTAAAGAGAACTGAGGACGAACAGTGATAGTTTTTATAAAACAATTTTTGGTCGGTTTTAAATCATTTCAGACTAATATTTTTATGGGGTGTGATTTTAAGTATCTTTGGAATTGGACTAATAATTTGAGATGGTCACATGGTTTCCAAGTTTTCCACATTTTCAGCCCATTAGTCTTAACCAATTCAGACTGATTAGTGTATACCTTTACCACACCAATGCTAACATTCCGCTTGTTGTGTTAGGTAGGGCATGGACCACTAACAATATCAATCCTATCTTCCAAATATTTAGATCTGGCAGAAAATTTGACGTGTCCGTTTTTTTAAATCGCGTCAGCTGTGCCAAAGATGATATCAAGTATCAGGTAATTCTGTTTGTAGAGATTGCATTGGTGTGGCAGGGCAGAAAAAAAGCACAACATGGTTCAAGTTTGACACATTACTGTTATTTTTATTGCAAGTTTTAAACGGGAAATATTATTATAAACATCATATCAATACCAATTTTAATGTATAATGTGCAACAACCTAATAAAACCAATGTTTTGAAAATGTAAATGTGTTTTTAGTTCATCTGAAATTTGATAACAGAATTTCAAGGGATGTCAATTTGGAGAGAAAACTAGGATAGCATAAATGTCCAGTGCTTTGGTTTGACAGAGCGGTAATAACTCGGTCTTTTCAATGGTGAAAATTGCTAATTCTATAGATACTGTATTACATTCCTATTGAGTGATGGTAACAACATTGAAAAGCTGGCTACTTTTAAAATAGTTATTTTATACATTGTAAAAGTACCAAAAAATACCATTTAGAAGTATAACTTAAAATAATTCCAAAACCCAAGTATATGAAATGGGTCCTTTCCTCCATTGAAAAGAATGAGCCACTACTGTACTTCATGAAAAGTTATCCTTCTTCTCAACATTAAAAATCTGGTTCATGCAATTTTGTTAAGAAAATGTGATAGTTGTACAATCTTGCAGCATTGCTTTGAGTAGTCGAGAGCACATTCCACCTAAACATTTTATTCTTAAAAGTGGACAAAGATTATCACACCTGCATTTACCATCCAATCAAAATCCTCTTCCAATTTTTACTTTTATACTTGTCTAAAACATCAAAAAAAGTAACATAAATAACAAAAGAACAAATATGTTCATTAGCTTGGTAGTTGGATTGTAAATGAAAATTAACAAACACAAGCCAGTGTCTATAACATGTTCAGAAATGGCAGAGCTGGTATTGCCTAAACTGCAGTCACTGATTTTCTGTGTTCACTGACCCTGGTCTTCAACTGTTTACCTGTCTCACCAATGTAAAAAGAATTGCGGTCACAGCAGTTGATCTTATGTAGTCCCACATCGTTGTTCTTGAGGGGTCTTGTCCTTTGGTGCCACTAGGTGTTGTTTCAATGTGCACTGGGGTCTAAAAGCCATGCTAACGCTATAATTTTTAGATGGTGCAAGTTTACAATAAGACTGTTGGCTCAGTTGGTCACTGCTGTCCATTCCTGATGCAGTTTTAAGGCCCAAGGTGGGTAACCACACACCGTGAGAGCTTCATCCAGTGTCTTTTTCTCCAATGTTTTGTCTTCTTCATTAGTCATGATGGTGTTGCACCTGTGTTTAAGAGTTACTACGACCCATAGTTTCTGATGTAGCTGGTGGTGCAACTGGAAGTTTGTATTGGTTGGTTATGTGTGGCCTTCCTGTAGACTCAGGCTCAGATGGCTGTCACTCTCACATGTGATTGACAAATCAAGGAAAGCAATAGAATTGTTTTCTTCCAGCTCTACATTGAACTTACGTTATCGTATTGGCTGTTGATAAAGTCAGAGATAGCAGTTATGTGGTCCCTGTGGCAAACACGTGGAGGATTGGGCAAAGACCCCAATGCAGCTACCTCAAAGCTCTCCATATACAAATTAACCATAACTGGACCAATGGACTGCCCATGGTTGCTATGTGTTTCTTCTTATGGAATTCCCCTTTATAGATTAAGATTGTGGTGTTCAATACAATATCTACAAGCTCTGTGATATCTTCTACTGACAAGATTGGTATATCCCATAAGGGTGAGATCTGGACAAGCTAATGGTATGAAAGTATATTATCTTGTGTTTGATAATTTTCATTTATAAACAAAAAAAAAAAAAGGTTTTACACTTTGGCATAATATTACGATGATATCATCCAAAGGGCCCCCAAGCTGTTAAAAATACCAATATTGATTATGAAAAATTATAACAGAGTTTAGGAAATGAATAACATTCTCATAAAAATCAACTGTCTAATAAATGTAAATTGATATTTCATTTTATATATCAAAGGTTATTTTGGAGTTGGTAACAAATTTTATATTAAGATTATGGTCTGTTGAATATCTACAATACAGTATTATAATGATAAAATGAACTAAATAATGAGCAGGTCAAAATGGACAGTATTCTTCTGACAATAGAAATTTTCCATATTGTCAGTAGATTTCTTTTACACTTACTGAAGTAAATTTTACATAAGCGCAGGCTTATTTCTTGTTAATTCTTAACTGCTGCAGGTGAGGGTGTTTCCCTGTGATAGTTCATGGATCTTTGCTAATTATGTATGAAAAGGCTGCATTCATATCCATGGCAAGATATTCAGAACAATTCAATTCAGGTACAATTATTATGAATTATGTTGATTATATGATATAGTTTTGATTAACAGAAGTTTCTGTCTGAAATAGAAATTATATGATAAGATATTTAAGTTGCATTTTCACTTGTACCTGCTTTCTATGTAAGAGAGTGCCAGTCACGCTTTTTCCCTCCTCCCAGGGACCCTTCATTTCCGAATATTATGAAGAATTTGTGAGTGAACAGTACTGACATTTTATATTTCTTGTATTTTCAACTAGACCTTGTGGACATATAATTCTTAAAACACTGCTTTTCAATCCCTACAATTCACTATACTACATATTATTAGGGAATATTCCTCCGCATCTTGTCAAGTGATCGTAACACACAGTTCCACTGTCAAAAATTGCATTGCACTGCCAGCAAATGTGCTTTTTACAGCTAAGACAAGTCATATGATTACAACCTCCGTTTTTTTCAATGGGGGCTTTGCACTGAGGGCATTTCCTACGATTCTGAGGATCTTTTTCCAGCCAAACTTTCAGGCTTATGTTTTTATCTCTCTTCATTCCCTGGTACATGGCACAGGACAAGCCCTGATGGTATTCTATCTTGCATGTGGTGCAGGTGGTTACCTGACAGTTACAGCAGGTGAAAGGTTTCCCATTCTCCGTGATCTGGTACACCATAGGACAGTCAGGGGTGCCACAGTAGGTATAAGCTTCAGGAGCTTTGGAAACAAAGGCCATAGTTGATGAGGCCACCAATGCTCTCTTCATTGGTTCTGTTGTTAGTTTGTTGAGGGTTCTCCACTCTATTAGCTCTTCACACCCTTCCTGGGCACATGTAATAGGAAAGTTTTTCTCCTCAATGGCTACACGTATCTGATTTGTGATACATTCTTGACAGTATGGGTGACCACAACATTCTATCCTGAAAACACTGTCATCAATGGGGCAGAAACAAACCACACAGTCAATTGAGTTTTCCTTTACAGTGGGTTTATTAGGTAATCCATCGATGCACGCTTGTACGGCTTGCTCTAGTTTGTTGAATGCATCATCAGTGCCTTGAAAGCAAAGAGTATGGTGACGCAGATCAAGTTTCAGATGTGTAGCACCTGTTTCTTGGGTCAGCCTCTGAAGGTCAAGGCCATAGGTCTGCATCAAAGCTTTCATGACACCTGGTGGTCTGTCACTGCTGGAAAGGGGTATATCACACACTTTCTGGGAAACCATATCATCCAAGTATTTGTTTATTTCAATTTTGGCCACAGTTCTTGCTCTTTCACTACCATAAATAGCTAAAGAAGACATTCTTCTGTCTGCCAGGATATATGTTCCAGAAGAAGACATGATTCTCTTAAGAATATCTTTTGATGTGAAGGATAGTAGATTTCTTCTCATTAATTCTGAAATGCTGCAGTCAAGTATGTCGCCCTGTGTTATTTCATGGATCACCATCTTTGCTTCACGTAGGTCTGCAACATTGTCTGCACGAATGTCAATGGTGAAGTTACCATCCCGCCTCTCACTTTCTTTGATGTTAAGTTTTTCAGAACCTTTTATAAGGTCTGCTGTTGCTTCCTTGATATCATCCTTAAAGATTTGGTATACTTCTTTTTGTACCAAAATGGAGGTAAACAACAAGGCTTCCATTGAGACAGGTCTCTCTCCTATCAAAAGATTTCTTCGTAGTGCATTGTGCACTGCCTGACCATCAGTTGAGCTTTTGAATGTTAAGTAACCGATGAAAAAATAGTCTTTGTCCTTTGGTTTAAGGAGGTCTAGTTGGAAATGTCGTTTGTCCACAAGAGCCTCAATCTGTATAGAAAGTTGATGTCTAAATGCATTCATCTGCTCCTGTGTTGTAGAAAATGGTTTTTCACGGGGAATGGAAACCCTGTCAATAATCACAGCAGCTGGAAAGGCATCTTTCAAGGCTGACAGAAGCTGAGTTTCATCAACATTCTTATCCAAATTAGAAATAAAGATCTCATTTGGTTTGCCTTTTCCTGGCCTCAATTTTGCATAACTGGTACCTACACGAAGCACTTGGGTGCTGGAACTGGCAAGAATGTAGTCATCAATGTCTTTAAAGTTAACAAAACCAAAACCTCTTGTTGGTCTACGGCACCACTGTAGACGCATTTTATATTCTTGCATCTTTGAATCAATACCTACACTGGTCCCTGGGCGAGCAGATATTGATAGTCCAGATGTCTTGTTTACAGCTTGACTAGCAGACTCTGGATTTCTGAAGGTGATTTTTCCCCATTTAACATTAGCACTGTTGTTTTTCTTGAACTCAAAGTGGGAAACGATTTTTCCAAACATGGAGAATTTCTCTATTATATCATGAGTTGAGGGCTTTTCTTCTCCCTTGGTGACTATCACAACAGTCGTGTACTGCTCTGGCATCAAGATCCATCTTGTCTGTCCTCCACAACCAAGAATAGCATGGACAGACCCTGGTGAATGGTGCAGTGGTAGTTCACATGTTTCTTCTCTCAGTTTTTCTTTTTCACATTCCAGATGCCTGGCAATCATTTCAACAGCTGTGTCATGACCACTAGTTTGACAGTACACCTTCACCTCCCCTGTAACTCGAATTGGATCAATAATCACCATTCCTCCACCTATTTCAGCAGATATCTTCTTCTGCAAGCCACACAGTGTGGAAAATTTTGGACCAATTAACTTTAGCATAAGTTCTCTTCCAAAGAAAAGTGAAACAGCAGAAAGGGTCTGTGCTTCAAGTTGCTCGAGGTCAATGTTTAACAGACCAGACTCTGTAGCCTCAACAACTAGTCCCTCCTCAACAGGTGTCAAGTTCATTGCAAAATCTTGCGATGTAGAAAGTAGAGACTGGTACACTAGCCACTTTGGAGAGGATCCCAGATATTTCAAGGCAGAGGAAGGATGGATTTGGACAGCCTGGCCTAGCCTTGCAACCAAGTACCCTGCTTTACTGTGCCCTAGATACAGACAGAGGTGTCTTGCTCCATATGTTTTGAAAAGTATTGGAGGTAATTTCTGAACCATTTCTTCTTCTGAGTGAAATGCATATGGCACTTTTAAACCGATTTCTGATTTCACAATTTTAATCATCTCTTGTACTGCATCTCGACTGCAGCGCATGGCCCTTGCATTGATGAAGTTTCCTACACACCACCTGCTTTTCTGCTTGTCTGGTATTTTATTCCATTCTCTGTAAACATTAACAAAAGTCACACTGTCTCCACCTTGATGACAAAAAGTGGTCTTCAGTTTGTCTGCCATTTCCTTCTCATCTTCTGTACCTTTGCGAAAAAAGATATTGCTTGAGGTGGATGTGACTGCAGCTAAAACAAGAGCTTCAAAGCCTATACCTTCTTCTATTCCTAACAGCACCAGGCGTGATAGATGGGGTTCCAATGGAAGTTTGGCCATCTGCTTTCCTACTTCTGTGATGCCCTGGTCATCAACTGCTCCTAGCTCACGCAGGGACCTCATACCATACTCAAGGGCCTCCAGTGGGGGTGGCTGAACATAATCAAATTCTAATGGATTAGGAATGCCAATCTCCAGAAGTTTTAGAAGAGCCCCACTGACATGAACTCTTAGGATCTCTGGTGTAGATATTCTTTCAGATGATTCATACTCTTCTTTGGTGTACAATCTGAAACATTTGCCTGAAGATATTCTTCCAGCTCGCCCCTTTCTTTGCTCTGCTGAGCTTTGGTTCACAGTCACAACATCCAGCGAAGATCTGTTTTTCTTTGGATCATATCTCACTTCTTTGACAAGCCCTGAATCAATGACATACTTAATACCTGGGATGGTGATAGAAGTTTCTGCACTGTTGGTAGCAAAAACTATCTTTCGTTTCCCTACGGGAGTTTGCTCAAAAACTTTGTTTTGTTCATCACTTTGTAGTCTGCCATGGAGCTGTAAGCAAATAACCTCATCAGGGAATGGTAACTGTGCCTCTAATATAACAGAAGCCTTTTCTGTTTCTGTTGGTGATGTCAAGAATGCCAGTATGTCACCCTCAGGCTCTGTTTGGTGTACTGCAATGGCTTTCACAACAGTCTCGCGCACATGGTCTGAATTAGGTTGCCTAGGAGTATCTTTCCAAACAACTTCAACTGGAAATGTGCGTCCAGAGACTTGCAGAACTGGACATCCACCAAAATAACTGACGAAAACATCAGGGTCAATTGTTGCAGAAGTTATTATAACCTTAAGTTCTGGGCGTTGCTTCAAGCAGGACTTCACCATACCAATCAGTAGGTCTGTATGTATACTGCGTTCATGAGCTTCATCTATGATAATGACAGAGTAGCAATTCAGAAGGTTATCCTTGAGACATTCATTCAAAAGGACATGGTCTGTCATGTAAATAATGGATGTATTTGGACCTCTCTTCTTCTGCATCCCAACTTGAAACCCAACTTCACCCCCAACTGCACATCCCATTTCTGAGGAGACGTGTCTGGCAAGGCTGATGGCTGCCACTTTTCTTGGTTGGGTGCATGCTATGATTCCCTTTTTCCCTAGTCCAACTTGGTGTAAGTATTGCACCAGCTGGGTGCTTTTACCAGAACCTGTTTCTCCAAGTATCACAGATACCTGGTTGTTCATCACTGTGTTCAAGATGTCCCCTCGTCTGGCATACATTGGCAGGGCTGAAGTGAGCTTGTGGCACTCTCGACCAAATGCTTTCCTTATTTCAAATATATCCTCATGAAAATGTTTTGATGGTTGGATTTCCCTGAAATGATTCTTGGTCATTTTCAAGAAGTCTGCAAACTCCTTCTTCTGGTTGTTCAACTCTGAAAGTTTGTCTTGAAGTGCTGCCTTCTCTGAAGTTATGCGCTCATACTCAGCCAAGGGAACATGTCGCTGAACATGGGTTTTCTTCAAAAGATTGGCCACCTCAGAAATCTTTTTTGAGTGTTCATCAAGAAGTTTGTCCCCTTTCTCTTGGACTTCTATCTCTTGTTTCTGGAGTAGAGCCTTTGTCTCATCTGTATCTTCATTGCACTGCTTGAATTTTACACTTTCAATGGTAGAATCCTTAACATGAATTAACTTTTGCAAGGAGCTGAGAGCCCGTTTGGCTAGATTCTTGCTAGGAAAGACAAGAAGAACCTGTGTTGATGAGTCACTTGCCATCTCTGAGACTAGTTTGGCTTCAAAGTCTATGGTCTGAGACATAATGTGCTGAAAATATGGCTTCACTCTCTCTTCATCGTTAAGCAAAATTTTCTCTTTCAATTTCACCAAAACTTCTGCAGGAATGGGTTTGCGTGCTTTAGGGGAAATCCTGGCATCTGTCTGCAAGGTGGTTTTGGAATTATCTTCATGCTTTTTGTTTTTCTTTCTGGTTCTGGGTGGATAAACCACATTTGAGGTTGAAGGTGGGACAAGTTGCTGTGGGTCATTTTGTCTATAACTAGGTTTGAGCAGTCTTTTACCTTTGTCTAAAGTTTTTTTCCCACCATATGTTCCAGCAAGCGATGGCACTTGATCTGTGTTAGGTGACTTTACGGACTTAAAATCACTTCTGTCAGATGACATAGTTCTGAAATGACAAAAGGTTTACGTAAGCATTATATTATGAATTTTATGATAAACATATAATCACAGATAAGTAAAAATGTCAAGTATATTTCTACATTATTTCACTTGGCAAAAATGATGACCAAGAATGCATTAGACAGACATTCCTGACATGCAACTTACCACTACCATAATCATTAACTGTTAATAATCTTAGACTGGTTTTCTGAAACTGTTTTTTGTCAAATCAGCAAAAGAAAGAACTTGACCTTTATCAGAGGTTATTTAAGCAAAAACTGTGGGTCATTTCAAGAAGCAACTGATAAGTCCTAGCTGCATTGCATTGGCAAACAATCATAAGCATTCTTTTATTTTACGACACATTTCAGGCCTGTAGCCAGGGAAGTTTGGGGGGGTTTGTAAGAACCCCACTTCTAGGTAAAATTTTATCTATGTATGAAAGTTTCATGGTAAAAGGTCCACTTTTTCAGTAAAAGATCCCCCTCCCCCCTTGAAACCACTGTCTATGCACCTGTGTTTATTACATAAACAAGGAAATTTAACTTAAATATTTTTTACTGTGTAGAAATCATTATGAATAAATATGCCTGTAAACAGTATCAAATGTAGTGTATATATATAAATAAACAATGTTCCCTTAAATATCTAGCAGATGACAGTAAAAAAACTACATGTAGCTATCATAACATATACTATTAGAATGCTTACATGTTATTTAAAAATGTCAATTACATTTTCATTTTACTTCTTAGTAACTGTTCTCATATATCAACACTCTAAGTAAAGCATATATTGGAAAGATAATATAGCAATTAATATATTATAAATTTAGATACATTTGAACACATAAAAATTCTGTGACCAAAGAAAATAATAGATTACAGAACAAGCAAATGATTACCAGAATCTAATTTTTACCTTTGCAATACACACACACACATATCACAGTTATTTAGCATGATTTATTTCCTGATTATTTGACATTTATATTAAAAAAAAAAAAAAGAAAAAAGAAACACTGCAGCCAGTGGGCCATTTGATTACAGCTGAATCTTCCTTCCTGTATATATCTTTAATTAACCTTCACCTTGACAATGGACAGCATATCTTGTGACTTATCTGATGTAAGGAAATCAGGAGTTATCTAAATAGCCCAGTGAAA